TAAGAACAATAAAATATAGATGTTCGTTGGCTCTCCAGGCCCATATTAATGTAATACATTATAAATATTCAATGGTTTATGAAATAGAGAGTATCGATTTCACAGCGCCATATCTATATAACACTTAACAGTATTAGTGCCTGTTTCTGTGCACTTTATGGACTCCAGTCACACAGCGTCGTATACGTCATGCATAAATCATATCTATATATGTCATGTTTGTTACTTACATGGAGCGTTGATATGCGTCAGTTGACGACTTCTTGAACGAAAATCGTGATAATGGGAACAGGCAGTTGTATATCGAATCACTGTGACATGTAAATACCATAAGTTTGAGATGCAAGTATATTGTTACCCAGAGATGGAAAATTCACATTAGAGAAATTGAAATCATACAGTTTGATGGGAAAATGTCCATGTTGGTTTCGTTGTAGGGAAAGATCGAAATAAGCAGGTAATGTAGAACAGTCTGTTGTATCTTTGATTTCCAGTTGTGGTGGATGTATAAAATGGACGTAATCAACAAATGTCGTGTTATTTAAAGACAAGACGTCATCAATACATCTGAAGGTCAAATTAAATGACTTTGCAAGGTCTTTGTGACCTGTGACTTTAAACCACAAAATGGCCGGACTATTCGGTCTTAAGACATCGCTATCCCATTTGAAGATCTTAGATAGTAAGTTCAATATCACTATTTCAATATGGATTTACAGATACAGCATATATATTTCAACTATTTAAAATGACTGTCCCTCTTAACAAAATCTTCATTCCAGTTCAAAAAATAAAAATAAAACGAAGACAGATTTACATAGAGATCCCTGAAAAAGTTCAAGGAAATGAGAGCAACATTCTGCAGAAATAAGCGTCCTTTGCTTCATCCACGATGCCTGCAATGTGAATATTGATCAATCCGAAAAAGCTAAATCATTTTCTCATATGAGAATCTATAGCAACGAAACTACCAAGCATGCAACATAGCAACCACAGTGTAGTGAGAAATCGTAATGCCAGGAACAATCCTATATCGGATTGACTGCAAAGATTTTCGTAAACAGCAAAGGCTAGGGAAGCAGATTTGTTGCTAATAAGAAATGGAAAATCCACTCTCAAAAAAAAAATTACTGGAAAACTGTCCTTGCTAGCTGTGTCTGGGTAGTAACAGTATGTTCTGTCCTTGATTTCCAATCCTGGTAGATATGTATTTGTGTGTATGTTTAGATGAATTATGAAAGTCGTGTTACTTAAAGTATATAAAGGTTAAGCTACATGTCTTGGCACTCCCTGTTTTGATTGCCCTAGCCATATATTCAACTTCACATAGAAACAGAACCAAGTCGGCCTAGAGAGGGGTATATCAATTTGTCATAGGTATGCCAATAGTATGTTAAAAGCTCTTACCACCAACAAAAATGTTGTCAACAAGAAATTCGATCATTTTCGCTATTCGATCGTCGGTATTTTATGTACGTATATATACTTTCAAACATACGAAATACACTACAGTATATGCATGTACATGTAGGCAAAAAGCATACATATCATCATGTTTACAAGTAGAGACTGAATATCGTCCTATAGTTTGAAATGAGGTCAAACTTGTTTGAAGCTCTTTAAACATTGACCAATTCTACTGGTAATCTACTATACTGGATACTGAATAATTCTACTGATAATCTACTGTACCTACGATTGCATATGTCTTCTGAAGTTTTTCTTTATTTAACATTTAATAATTCTACAGAAACCCTACAACATTTTACACTGAATAATTCTACTGGTCATCTACTGTCGTAATAACTGCCTAATTCTACTGACAATCTACTTGACCAAATATTGACTATTTCTACTAAATACGATACTAAACATTTACAACGTATCTACTTAACAATATTTAATTCTACTGACCATCTGGCCCCACTTGTATAAAACATCTCAACTTGATATTTCCTCAAGTCGAGATTTTCCTCAGCTGATATCTCCTCAAAAACGGCTTGTATAAAATTTTCTCAAGGAACAGGAGGAAGGCATCGGCTAAGATGTCCTGAAATTCCTTGAGGAATTTTCATACAAGATATTTTCAAGGAGATATTAGCTGAGGAAAATCTGGGCTTGAGGAAATCTCAAGTTGAGATGTTTTATACAAGTGGGGCCTGATGTACTAAAATTGACAATCTACTGTACCAGGTAGGAAATTGACACTGGTGACCAGATACAAGGAGACATAATAAACATGAAAGGTGTCAACTGAATCCTCCGTCTCGATCAATACTACAATAATTAGTGATATTTTTTAATATATGATTTGCCTTGAATGTGGATCACTAATGATGGTTTGTGCGAAAACATATCCCTAATGAGGCGAAAAATTGTCACAGGGTTGACCTCAATGACAATTACTTTACATATAGCCGTAATACATATACAGTAATAACTGTTGATTTCTGTCTAATTATTGGAATATAGGACACTAGGATAATAGGGTGGAAATCCTATTATCAGTAGTTCATTGTGTTAAGAAAAGTGTCGTAGTGCCCATTAATTACCAATGTTCAACCAGGGTAATTATGAGACAGGTTCTCATGTAGTAGCAGTTCTGCTATTAATACCCGGCCCCTTCTGAACAAATTCGTAATATTGTCAGAACTACAAAAGTGCAGTTGTCCTTGCAATAGTTGTTGAATATTTCACTCAACAACATACGGAAGGCTCAATTTCTGTACAAGCTATATATATATTCCTTACCTGGTATAGATGAGGCATTGGACCAAATGGCTAAGTGTAGAGGTTCTCCAGCCTTGATTTGAACCCAGATTATTGGCAAGCAGAAGTTGAGCCAAAGGATGAGTAGAAAATGTCATTCTGCACTGCGACGAGCTTGCACTAGCCTTTTAGATTGAAATCAGATTCAGTTATATTCGAACGACTCTTAAAGACTCACAATAGTTCTATATAGCGTCAGAAAGACGAGTCATGCTGTCTCATTTCCGGAACAGAACACCAGAACACTTAAGGAATGCCAAATCTCTGAAGGGTTAGAAAAGTTAGTAAGGGCCAAATCTTCGAAGAGATATAAAGATTGTACAAGGTGATGACCTATGTAGTATACGGAAGAGCCCTCTGCAAACCAAACGCGTTCCAATACCAAAAGCGGAGAAAGGAGATTCCATGCGAACTTCCAGTTACAGCTCGGCAAGTTTCTGAGGATAAGCAAATCTCGCACTACCCTTTACCATCCGAAATCGGTTGAGATGGTAGAGACGCTCAACAAAACTATTGTAAATACGCTTGGCATGTTTGTCCACACTTACCGAACTAACAGGGAAAGTTATGATGGCAGATTACTCAATGGAGCATGAAACCAAGAACTCTCCTAATTGTCTAATGTTAGGGAGGAACGTGATCACTGCGTGATCAGAGGCAAGGGTATTGTGACGAGCAATGTCTGATCTATCAAGCATTTATACATACATAAGATGTAAAACTCAATTTTTTTTATTATACCTACAATATTACTTATTTTAATCTAGCCTAATATTTATCTCTTGTGTGAAGTATTACGTGCTAAGCAATGTATAATTTCAACAAACCACGTATCTCAAATAGCTCTAAAGAATGGGCTAACAGGTTCTACCACTAATGTAATCAAAAGCGAGATGCTGTCATCTTTAAAATATCATCATATTACACTCTCTAGAGATGTTGGTTTTGCTGTTAATCTTGCATAGAATGCTTTAAGAAGAAACAATCAATATGTTCATTCCCATTGTTAATACGGTGATGTATGACAATGTTGTCAAAAGAACCAAGCAAAAAAATATATAAAAAAAGTACTCATGTTAGGAAGTGTATTCAACTTGGCCAACAAATATCTGTTCTGAGCATAGAAAGTCATTGTTGTTCTTTGAAAGTATCTTTGTTATACCACTTAGTAACATATAGTCCTAGTAATAATTTGTAACTTTGTTGTACTACTAAGTAACATAGTCCCAGTAATTATTTGTTACTTTGTTGTACTACTAAATAACATACATAGTAATAATTTGTAACTTTGTTGTACTACTAAGTAACATAGTCCCAGTAATTATTTGTTACTTTGTTGTACTACTAAGAAACATACATAGTAATTATTTGTAACTTTGTTATACTAAGTAACATAGTCCTAGTAATTATTTGTTACTTCGTTGTACTAAGTAACATACATAGCAATTATTTGTAACTTTGTTATACTACTAAGTAACATACAGTCCTAGTAATTATTTGTTACTTTGTTGTACTAAGTAACATACATAGCAATTATTTGTAATTTTGTTACACTACTAAGTAACATACAGTCCTGGTAATTATTTGTTACTTCGTTGTACTAAGTAACATACATAGCAATTATTTGTAACTTTGTTGTACTACTAAGTAACATACATAGTAATTATTTGTAATTTTGTTGGACTACTAAGTTACATACAATAATAGTAATTATTTGTTACTTTGTTATGCTACTAACTAATTAAATATTAACCAATAAAGTGAACTAATTGCACCTGCTGACCAAGTTTCATCTAAATGGGATTATGTTTTGGGAAGTTAGAGCACGGAAATGAACCAACCAATGAAATTAAAGGATACCTCATTAGTATGCATAATTATTAACAGATGACACTGATAGTCAAACTCCGTCTTAATGACCCCAAGATGCATCTGCTGACCAAGTTTCACCCAAATTGGATGATATTTGGGAAGTTAGAACACGGAAACAGAAGTGTGACAGACGGCAGGACGAACAAACGGACGAACCCAAATTAATATCCAGTTTTGGTGAAAGCGGGGGATAAAAATCTTTCACACAGAAGGTGTTAACTTTTCAAGACATAGCCCTCCCTCTTCCAGTCAAAACGTAGTCATGAGACATTTTCTTTAGTCACAAATCCTTCACAGGACATTCCCAGCTAGTATTAGTTCAAACTCAATCTAATACCAAATGTAACACAACAAAAATATTTTTCAAATGAATGTACATTTTATTATCTTAAAACAGATGTATATATGTACAAGTTCATACACAATTATTAGAGTCAGACCTTGTTCACCTCTCATTTTCTCTATATGATTATCACATACTATTAATGAGCACACACCACTCTCCATATCATACAATAAATTCTCTTCCATCTCTCTCCATATCATATCACAAACATATCAGATTCTAACATTATACACAGAAACCTGGACAAACAAATAAAAAGGTATTTAGTACTTATTTTACATGTGTTGGCATTCTATACAAATCCCAACTGAAACATTCCTTGGGTTTCAAAAAAATTATTAGCACATTCAACCTCCATGTTTCCTGTACTGGAGGATCAACACCAAATCCCATCTTTTCTATTAAATAGCATAGCATTCAAGTAGCAATTTTATCTGTTAAATTGTTAATAATCAGTATGACAATTTATATTTCCTCTACTTGTACTGCCTTTTTAATGAAATTGTAAAAAAATACTTATAAAACATAAAAAGGATTAACAGTGAACTTGATTATGATCCAATAATTCCATTTTTGTTCTCAATGAAAGATTTTATTTTTTTTAATGCTTATTTTCTGTCATTGTGAAGATAGACAGAGCACAGATGGGTAGTAAAAGTGAAAGGTATGATTGAAAGAATGTTAGAATGAAACATTTGTTATCTCATTTTTCAAAGATCGGCAGTCATCTGACAAATTAATTATCATAGCAATACCAATTTTGCATGGTAATTATTACTCACAGGCCGAAGGGACGTAACTCTTAATACCCGTCGTCCTCACCCTTCAGTCAGATTGGATATTCACAATAATATAATCCGAGATTCCTTATATCTTATCAGCTTATTTATAAAATCAAGGGAAAGTAAGACATTATTTCATACATACAAATGCTGCCATAAGGGTTTTCTTTATGGTTGGTAAAGCCAAGCTTGCTTTGATGCAGAAAAAGAAATTAGAAAGTTTAAATGGCCATGTGCTCCACATCAAGGATGACTGATTCACAAATTTAATTGCTTTGCTTTGGAACAAAAATTAATGCAGTTGGAAAGTAAAATAAAGCAAGCCTGAAAAAGTATTCTGGAAGAGAAAAGCAAAATATACTTGCATTCCAAAAAACTTTATAAATCATAACAGGCAGAGTAACAACAATTCAAAATCAAAGTCAAAGTCCTTTACATATTTCTAGTTTCTCTTTGCTTTTAAATGTAGCATCAATATGCCATCCTTCCACTCACATTTCCTGTAAGTACCCTTGGTAAAAAAATTCCCAGAATTTATCAGTGTCCTCTCACAATAAGTATTGGTATCATTCACTCAGTGTCGCAGATGAGGCTTGTGTTTGGCCATGTACCTGGAATGAAGCACATATATATATCAGACACAATACTCTAAAACTTCCATGAACATCACTAATGTCGATTTAACTACAATGAAATATAACATTACTTACACTACTACTAGTTACACTATTATAGGTTACACAGGTAGAGTTAGTATATCCAAGACTAGTTGAAGAAAAGGGGAGATAACGTACTTATCAAGTATCTCCCAGACTTGCTGTAGGTTTGCACGGTCAAGATGGCGCTTGTTTCTGTCGAGGGCAACAACATAAACATCCCACTTCTTCACATTATTGTCAATTGGAAGTTCCGCCCACTTCAGATGGAAAGCTTTGACTGGAAAACGATTCGGTGATATTCAGTTAGATAACATCTCATAATACACACATACAACACTTAAACAGTAATTAATACAAGGTACCGGAGAAGTCAATGTCAAAAGCAGGCAAATATTATCTAAATCCCGATACCCTCCACATAAAATAAACCCAACTCATGACCTATCAATCGTTTCTTTTATCAGGCAGAAACTTGAAACATATTTTTGATTTGTTTTTTTTTTTTTTTTGCCCTTATCTAATTAATTACTGCATTTTAGTTTTGAATATTTCAACAATTCCAATCATTTGAACACTGACAGATGGTTATAAAGTTAATTTCTTGATAGGGCTATTGGCATTGCAAGCTGTCATTTCTTAACAGTCTATTATCATTTAAATTATATCAGATACAATAAATTTTGTCAATATTCAGAATGAAAAGCAGTCTTTATTGATCAATAATTTCATTCCTTGCTAGTACATATTTATTTGACCATGACACTTCAAATCTTTAAGTTTAATTACATAAGCATAATTGAATCACAAGTTTATCTCACTTTTTTGAGTAACTAATGGTATATGTGTTTTATACTGAAACTTACTCCTGGAGAAGATTTCTACTGGAACACCGTCCCAAGGCCACCCCTTGAACTGCCATGCTGGTCCTTGTACAAACACAGCTACCACTCGGTCCCTACAAAGTTAGATTAGATTATTAGCATATCTTTATCACCATACAATTCCTCACAGTAGTAGCCATAAGTACAGAGTAGATCATTGTTATTCATCAATATCTTTATCATCATATATCTTTTCATGGTTGTTCCAGTATGCAGGGGTAACAAAAGTTAGCTAGATTAAATATCATATGACCATCATTAAAAAAACTCTTACAAATTATACAGCTGCTCATTACTGAGGCTTCAAAAACTTAATTTTGCTTGTAGTACATAATGTAAATTTGTCTGCAGTATTTTAATTTAAAGAAAATTAAATTAGCGAAAATTATTAGAGTTATCAAGAGGAAATGCGGTATACCAGTCGTCCGGTGAAAGTTTGAGAGGGTTGTCTATGATTCTGTAGGGCACTGTCAAGTTACCAGCCTTGCGACGCTGAATCAGTACTTCATTGTCACGCTTAGTGCCCTGTGCTTTCTTCTCTTCTGTGCTGACAAACCTGTGATAGTAAAAAATTCCGCTATCAATACAAACTGTTCTGTAATTTCAGTAAAAAAGTCTCATTGGTTCCCATCTATTCCTTTCATCAGGAAAATTTGAACTGCTAATTACAAAACTTATTTTGAAAAAGAGGTACCTGTGATCCTGAAGGATATCTTTGGCGTTGAACATGGTGATGATAGAAGTTGTGGCAGCAGGTATAATAATGATGGGTGTCCGAGATCCTATCAGACAACAACACAGCATTAGTACAGTGATTCATTTCATGGCATTAAAAATATATCAAATATTTTAAGAGCATGTGTACAGAGAATTCATTAACTTCCTAGAGTTAAAAAATCAATAGGATATTATCAGTACAGATGTACATAGAAACTTATACAATCAATTGTGTTAAAATTTTCTAATGTATCATCCTTCTACCACTGACTTGCATTTCAATTAAAGGTGTAAAATAGTAAGGAATTTCCTCCCTTCAATATGTCACTATGATTATAAATGGCATTTGTGCCATAATCGTATAGAGCATCACACAAACTTCATTATGTCATTATGTATATAGACCAGGTTTTATCAGGCATACATACGCTACATTGTGAATACTTTAAGCTTTCATCATAATAAGAATTTCTACCATTTTCAGTACACAATAAAGGACAAATAAAGTCACATGATGGTAAATACACCACAGGGCTCTCACACCCCATTTTGGGACTGGGGCCCGGGGCCCTTAGAATTGGGAAAAATGGCGGCATTTTCCTTAGAATTGGGAAAACTTGGGGTCTAAATTGGGAAAAAAAGATACTATTTTGCATTGGGTATTCGGCCCCAAATCTGGCAGATCAAGAGCCCTGCACCAGTAGTGTACAATGATCATAATTTACACTGTGCCATCTTTGACATAACATTTTCGGACAGCTCTACATAAAACAGTACCTTTTTTCTGGTTGGGAGGTGGCCTGGCCTGGGATATTGGACGCGATCCTGGGGTGACAGGAGTGGAGGGTTGTACTTGGTGATGGGAGACATGGTTCTGTTGAGGTGGTGCATGTCTTCGTGGCTCTCTATCTTCCATTGGTTTCTTCTGGTTGGCTCCACCTCCTTCCGTCACAAACTTGAGCGTTTTTCCGTGATAGGTTCCCATAGTATCAATCTTGAAACCCTCAGTCTCTGAATAAGAAATAACTGTGATAAGATTTCCTGTTGCTTGTATGGCACTAGAACCATGACATTAAGATCTTCAAGTTTTTGATAATATATACCATTAAAATTATGACCAAACAGGGTTTTCCATAATTTTGTCAATAGTAGGCTGTGTAGTGAAAGTAGGAGGCTGTCCTGCCGTGTACGTGGTGCCGTGTACGGAACACTATTACGGAACTGGATTGGTGTAGGTGGCCAAATGATCAAAGTAGCCAGTCAAATTGGCTGGCGACCGGCTCTTATGGAAAACCCTGACCAAATAAGTTATCTAAATATCAAAATCATTATTTTTTTTGAAGAATCTATCACCTAACTTACCTTCTTTTCCTTTAAATCTTTCTTGGTCATATCTGCTGTAGGCAGCCACTGGGGGGACACGCTGCTGGGGCTATCAAATCACAAAGAGATAGTTGTTTACTAGACATTATTTGTATGACACGAACAATCTTATCCCTGCCTTGATGAAAATAGGAGCGTAACCCAATATCAATCTGTAAATATCTTCAAGCAAATTAGAAAAAAAAAAAACAAAATTTTACAATGTTACAGCAGCAGCAAATGTTTTTCTGAATTCATTCAGCACAAGATCACAACTTGAAAAAAAATCATCCTAAAATCAAACCGAAAGAAGAAAAAACACCTGAACATGGTGTCTAATGGTCTCAAAATGTAACTGGTCCAGTGGTGAACTGTACCCCTTGCCATTTTAAGCCTTGAATTCAATTTTGTGTAGTTATTACAACTGTATTTGAATTCCATGCTATGTTAAACATAATTGTGATTATTTCAGTCATCAGAATTGTATTTTAGAATTGGCCAAAGTGACGCAAATTAAGGAAATTTACACTCAAGTGATTCAAACATATTTGATCGTAAAATTACATCAAGTTGACCTGGTGAATCAGGATCTGATAAGTTGGCCACTCTAACTTGCAATTCAAAGTGAAAGTTCAGGGAAGTGTTATGTGTTAAATAATATCATTCCTAAATGCCACAGATGTACGTACCACCGAGGGTGTATGTGGTTCAGTATGGTGTTTCTCCTTCCCTTCCTCACGGGCTTTGATAGACTGTAGAATTCCAAACACATTGGCAGCAAAAGTCTGAAAATAACAGACAAATATCAGTTAAGTTCATCAACTACATTGAAACCTTTTTACTCTTAGTCTTTTGAAGAATACAGTACCAGTCTCTCTGTATCCCCAACAATTTACAGAATCTTATTCTGAAAATGAGTTGAGACAACGTATTGCCAGGAAATATGAAAATATCTGATATGTATACAATTTTCCTTGTATCACTGATATGAAAACATTGTCTCTTGTGTGTTCAAAAGTTCACTTTAATCTCAGGGAACTTTTGTACAGCCCCCTTTGTAAAATCCACATAGCTATAAACACTTGAAGTACTTCACTTTAAGTACTGACTGATTGACGTACCTTCCCATTGCTTTGCAGGATACTGGTGCGTGTACGCCACAGACGTTCCCTGCTGACAATATCACGTGTCACGTCCACTTCAGCCTCCACAAAGCTCCTCTGTTCCAGAGCACCAGGAGCCACCTCATCATCCACCTTAATCATTGTCCTCTTTTTAGCCAGACGTTTGGCTTTGATAGCTGCAATCTTCTCCAGGGGCATGGCTTCAGGCAAGGATGAACGTCTGGGCATCAAATAACATTTATTTGAAATAGGAAATAATTGTTGTTCTACAATGAATTTCCACACCTTTCACATACTGTCTTGTGTAAAATCTTTGCATGGAGAAGTTCCCCAAAATGAGTTCTTACAGTTCAAAACTATTTAAAATCATCTAATCATTTTAACAAAGTTCCTTCTTTTATTGAGTCCCTCCTCGTTGGATTCATGACTTAATATTCTCATTCTAGCACATTTTTTAAGCTTGCATTTGGAGACTTTGGTAAAAATAAAACTGATAGCATTACCACATTAACTGTACATGCCCTCCAATTTGTAATACAGACAACCTAAATGGTGAAATAAGACTTCATATTATTTACAAACTTACGATATCTGTTGTAAAACTGAGGTCTCTCGTGTAGCATCAATCTTGTGTATCCAGTTCAGTTTGGCCTGTTGAACTACCTCTTCCTATAAAGATATTTTGTAACAATGAATTTTTTTATCATCATTCTTAGTAAAAATCACTTTGACAAAGTAATGAAAGCTAAGCTTAATTGATGTTGTGATCTGTGATTTCACTATCATAATAGAAAAGCAACTCCATGGAATACAAACCTCCAAACGTGGTTTTTTCTTGTCTGCCTCCCTGCTGTCTTCTGCTCCTCTTTTGACTGCAAGATTTTAAAACAATCTGTACTAAAGATATTCATTATGAATTCAGCAAATATCTAACAGGGATAGAGTTGTGTTGCCACAAAGAATCCATGAATATGTGATAACCCACATCCCCAATCAAGACCTATGAGCTAACAAATTGACCTTTCAGTAAATATTGAATGAACTTACTCTGTGGAGGCCTCTGAAGAGGAATCTCCAAGGGTGCACTTTTGTCAATGCTAGCAGAGGATGTAGTTTCCCCATTGAGATAGCTGAGCAAGTCTTTTCTGTCTGGTCGACGTACAACAGGTACCTCAGCTGCCTAAAATCATTATATAGAAATAGCTTCATGAAATTCTATGAACAAATTTGCATTATAAAATTTAAAGCCATTTCTGAACAGGCTTACGATAAATTTGAATAATTTTCATTATTTTTGCAGTATTTAATCATAACATAAAGATGATATATGGATTAATCAAACGCTTGATTTCGAGCCCAAGGTAAAACTGTAATGGCAGTCTTAGAGCAAGTTTTGCAATCTGATGTTCAATCACCTATTATCAAATCATTTCACTTGAATGAAAAACAAGACATTTTGACATGATCAGGAAATTGCAATACATGGTATACAGCTATATATGCTGCTTAATTTGTCAAATGGAGCTTAGATCTTGTAAAATAAAAAAACGTAATTTCAATGAAATCAACCACAACAAGAACTATATATGGAATTGACCTTATAATACCATCACACAGAGGCAGCCTCCGTGATCAGTGAGTCTTTGTACTTACCGCTGCCTCTCTGACATAAAGTGGATGCTGTAGGTGAACATTTCTCAGCAGGAAAAGTATGCAGTCTAGTGTGTAATATTCTTTGACGATTCCATCTTTGCCAGTACTGGTAAAAAATTTTAAACATAATTTTGATTAAAGACTAAGAATTAAATGAACATTACATGTAAGGTCACGATCAAGAAAGAATTAAGTCACTACATCCAGGAATTATTTGTAAAAATTCCAATAAATTCGGTGTTGATGAGTCTGATGTCAACTTGAGGATGTGTTGTTAATTTTTGAAAGAAAATTACAAATGTACTTGTTTGAAATCAAGTTTTTCTACTTCACATTGAATTGATAAAGACATCATTTTGCAGCATGGTAACAATAGTGCTATTGTCAAAACATGGCTAATAATTCATGACCTGTGTGTAGATATTTTTCTTTTTAAATCACTCAGATTTCTGAACAGGAATATGTTACAGGTTTCTTCCGGCAAAGTAGATGAAAATCATATTTAGTATGGACAGTCACACTAACAACTGTATTGATAAACATGTTACATATTTGTGGTAAATGCTATGGCTGGTGCACAATATTCTGTTCAATAAGAAAAATCTGTCAATTGCTTGTCATGCTCGTCCTGTCTAGTAGTCAAAAGTAGTACATGGACACATTTAATCTTATCAATCTTACCACAAATGTTTTATATGTGAAATAAAACTATTATACTACTAAAAAAGCAGGAAATGTTTCATGTTTTTTTATATCGTCTTGACATTGGTTCTGGACCGTAATGTATTTTGGCATGGACATTTTGTCACTATCTGTTGACCTGCTTGACCTTGCACCCGGATAATTTTGGTTGTTGTAACATGTAACGCTTCAAGAAAAAATGAAAGCTTTTGATTAAAACCATTCACCATAAAATTATTGAACATTTTTTGGCAAATTTGTGAAATTTTTCTTAATATACATTTTCACATGTCAATCATCCTCCCAGATATGATGAAATAACCCATCAATACATCCTCAGATGCCAAAATTTTGTTGCCTTTTCTCAAATAATTGAAATTGACCATTAATAATAAAAGGTCATGCCTCCTGCAATTTTTGAACTTCAGAAATCCTTTCATGCACATCTTACATTCGGAAAATAATGATTTCTGAAAGACCACTTTTGATTACCTATTTCTGATTTTTATTTACTAGCGAGTTGAAGACTGACAGAGGAAAAATTAACTTTATATAAATAGTTTGTATTATAAAAAAAAAGAAGTTTAACAACAATAATGGCTAATTTGAAAAAGGGACCAAGCAAATCAAAATGCATTCAAATGATGATTTTTTTAAATATATATGTACTTCTGGGTAACTATGAGCTCACTCAAGCGTTTCTTTGATTTAGTGATGTCCTTAAAATGGAAGTACAGTCATTTGTCCGAAACACATGTCGGTCATTTCAGGTCAGCAAATTTTATATTGTTTCTGTAGATATTTAAAGAAAAATACTCGTTTCACCGGTCAGTTTTTTTTAAATAAATCTCACAGTACCAACATATTTCAGTTCATTTATTAATTTGTTTGGTGGCGATTCATTGACATAGCGTAGCTAGCGTGAAATGATTCATAAGTGGTCCGAAACTAATGCGCCATAGGTACGTAATTCCTGCCATTTTAGCAGTATAGTGTCATTGCGATATTTAGAATGTGCGATGTCATTTGACCTAACAGTGATCTAATTTTGCTTTCTGAAAAGCATTGACTAAACCCTTCGAGGCATGTATTGATATTGTTACATATAGTGCGCAAGTTTTCTCTTTCAAAATTTCGGAATTCATAAAAGAATTGGCCACTGTACTCGTTTTTGTTTAGCAAATACTGTTGATCGAGGTCTGATGCGCATATCAAATATATGCATCATTACGATATTTTGCATCCCTACTTACCCCCAGACGACATAGTTGGTCTTAACATTGCTTGGCCATGCGAGTTCACCAAAAATGACTTGATCGTCCTTCTCGATAATCTCCTTTTTGTTGATGTTGTACTGTCGAACTAAGCTCAGCACATCCGCCATGATGGTGGATTTACCGGAAATGATATCATAATCTTAAACCAAAAGTGACAGAAAACAACAAAACCCTGTCTTTTTCCTTTACATTACATCGTGTTCAGCAGGTTTGTGGTATTTCTCCTAATATTTCAGATTAAGTATGAAATATATTGATATGAATGTGATTATAAAATTCTAAAATAATTTCTTTTTTTACAGATTCAAAATGGCTGCGCCCATCAGAAATGTCGAAACCTCCGATATAGAGGTTGCAACAAAGTTGTGCAGTTTTGTGGTAGATACGGCAAACAAAGCAATCGAAGAAAATGGGGTGTTCACTGTGGGATTTTCAGGTAAAAGGCGTCAACATGACATGGAAACATGTCGTCTTTTCCTTATTTTCGTGCTAGTAATTGCTTCCCTTCTTACATTGCCCATCACAAGGGCAGATAACCGATAAAAACTAATGATAATACTTAAATTTTATTGCTAAAACCAATAGGCCCCACAATGTAAAATTGAAATATTTCCAGAAATACTTGTTGGCCTCGTGTATTGTAAATGATAATGGTCAATCAACACATGAAAATTGTTCTGGAACTACTCAGCTAATCGGCCTGATATAGTGGTAATGATGTTATGAGTTTTAGTAATTAGAAAACTAAATGACGGACATCTTGGAATTTGACAATTGATTTTAAAATGTGTCAGCCGCTGTTTCTTGCAGAGTATTGGAAGAATCTTTTATACAGTTTCTCATCGGTCATTATTTATGCCTGTTTCATTATTAATGTGATCCAAAGAACAAAATGGCAGACACATGGCCATGTTGGATCTAATTTTTGACATTTGAAGTTTGTTACCCCAGTATTGTTAATTTTTTAAAAGTGTAGGATATATAGGTAGTAAGGTATATGAAAAAGAGCATAGCTTTTGCTTACTTATCACTGAAATGGAGGAAGTGAACGCTATTTATGACAATTTCATTTGTGAGTTTAAAGAAAGGTTAATGTCCAAGTCAGGATGCTTTGGCAAAAATGTAAAGTTGAATTAAGTATTGATTGGTTGATGATTTTTACAGCTGTTTTTTTATTATTATTTTTTTTTGACCATCCAAAGATAAAGGCAACATATATGGAAAGAGAAATAACTTGGTCCAGTCACTGATTTTAACTCCAAAAACTACCAAGTCTTAGAAAAGCTTGCCTCGTGCACCACAGGCACCTGAGAGCTAGGTTGTTATAAAAGAATGTTTATGGTTTGTTATGATTGGACTTTTCTTTTTTGGCATTATGACTGTGCATAGAAGTATATATTTTCTGAATGTCAATGTTTATTAATCAGAAATGAGAAAAATGTATGATAAATGACAATATTTTAATGTCAATAGTTGAACAAAAAGGAGAACAAGTCCAGCTTTGTTAACTTCTAAACTGATTTGGTTAGGAATACATAGAGAGTATTATTGAATTGTTATAAAGTTACTTATAACTTATTATTTCAGAGTGGATCTGTAGTTGCACAATGGTTACTTCTTTTATTTTTAACTCCCTCATCTATCATCCTACATCATCTTTTCCCTTTAAACAACTCTTCTCAATAACAAGTGGACTAAATGTTTTTTAAATTTGGCTGGTATCTTTTTAGGAAGAAGCTTGACAATTATTGTGAAAAAAATAACCTTGATCTATATTCAAGGTCACAGGGATCAGATGTGTTTAAACATTTAAACTGTCTCTTCTCATGAACTAAAAGGCTGAAAGGCATGATGTTTGACTGGTGTGTCTTAGGATGAAGTCTGACTAATTTTTGTGAAAAAAAATGACCGTGATTTATGTTCAAGGTCACAGGGATCAGATTTGTTAATACCATTTAACAACTTCTCTTGAACTAAAAGGCCTTGATGCATGAAACCCGAGTAACTTTGTGAAAAGAAATGACCTTGATCAATGTTCTGGGTCACAGGGATCAGATTAGTTAAATCATTTAAACGATTTCTTCTCATGAACTATAAGGCCTAGTGGCATGATATTTGGCTGGCATGTTTCTAGGATGAAGCCTGACAAAGTTTGCGAAAAGAAGTGACCCTGACTTATATTCAAGATCACATGGTCAAATTTGTTAAAACGTTTAAACAGCTTCTTTTCATGGACTAAAAGCTCTAGAGACATGATATTTGGCTGGTATGTTCCCTGGTTTATATTCAAGGTCACAGGGATCAGATTTGTTAAAACCTTTTAACATCTTCTCATGAACTGAAAGGTCTAGATGCACGATATTTGGCTGGTATGTTCCTAGGATGAAGCCGGACAAAGTTTGCGAAAAGAAATGACCTTGATTTATAGTGGTATACAAAATCACATGGTCAAATTTGTGAAAATCCTCAAACAACTTCTCATGAACAAAGTTTGCACGATATTTGGCTGGTATGTTCCTAGGATGAAGAAATGACCTTGATTTATAGTGGTATACAAAATCACATGGTCAAATTTGTGAAAATCCTCAAACAACTTCTCATGAACTGAAACTCCTAGATGCATGATATTTGGCTGGTATGTTCCTAGGGTGAAGCGTGATAAAGTTTGTGATAAGAAATGACCTTGACCTGTGCTCATGCAAGGTCACAGGGGTCAGATTTATTAAAACCTTTAAAACAGTTTCTTGTCATAAACTAAAATGCCTAGAGGCATGAAATTTGCCTCTTGTTGAAGTATGGAACATAAAATCTGTTTGATAAAAGTCTATTATTTATTTATTAAGATATCCATGTGTCAATGTTGTGATAATTTTTCATTATTTTTGAACAGGTGGAAGTTTGGCCAAGTTTTTATGTAATGGTTTGCCAGGAAGAGAAACGGATTGGTCAAAATGGAGGATATTTTTCTGTGATGAGAGACATGTGCCCCATGATGATCCTGAATGTACCTACACAATCTACCTGACAGGCTTAGTAAAGAAAGTTAATATGGATGAAAAAAACATCTTCCCGCTCAATCCAGATATCTCGGGTAAATATAAATGTTGCATTTAAAAAATGTTTGCTACATTTTGAGGACCAAAAATAACCATTTTTTGTGTAGTCGTGAAGGAAACGAGTTTCTCACACAGTGAATTTTAATATTGCATGTACACATTGTTTCTGGGTACCATTTTTGTATTGGTGTCAGAACAGGCCTTACTGGGTCATTTTTAGCTCCTGTGGCACAAAGTGTCCATGTAGGATCTCTATTGCAGTAAAGCATCTATCTAATAGTAAACATTTTTCTTTAAACAGCTTCAATCTCGTTTTGAAGAAAAACTTAAAGTGACTTGATTTTGTTTTTGTTTTTTGTTTTTCTTTTTCCAGTTTTCCATGGTTTGGACTTTTCTCATAAAAATGGCCTTGACCTATTTAATTTCACAGGTTCAAATTTACATCAAAAGCACCAAAAGTAAAAAGTAAGGTTTTGAAGAACCACAAGGTCTAGATCTAGAGTGGTACCTGTCAATAAATACAGTAAATCTCTGTCTCTCTCTTATCATAATTTGGTTAGTTGGTCAACTCTGAGTGCTTACAATTAATTAAAACATAAAGGATTTTACTTCCAAGTTATATACTGGTATATATGTATAGCTACATGTTTGTGTATAAATGTTTGGCTGTCATTGTCATTGTAGTAATGTGGTTTGTATGTATATAAAATACAGTTATAATTACTTGTACATACAGAATATGACTGTAAGCATTACCCCAAATGGTAACATTAAGGCAATTTTCTAGTATGTTTAAATTCCAAATCACAGAAGTGGTCTAAGATGTTTCTTAATTTTCAAAAAAAGACTATCGAAGATGATTGACTTTTTTCTGTTCTTGAATTATTGCATCTTTTTATCATATTCTTTTGAATATATGAACAAATCAAGAAAATATTCCATTAATTATATGCTATGAGGCTTGCTGTGAAGTTATTGTGTGTATCTGTGTATAAATTAGTATAGTAATCATATAATAATACTTTTTACAGATATGATACTGAGCAACAACTGTCCTGCATTACATATCAATTATCCAGTTACAGCAACATATAAATTTCTATCCATATTTATCCCCTTCAAAATCCTTCAAATGTTGTTAACACACATTATTTTTCACTGTTTTTGCGGTGAAAACTTGAAAGAATTAGACCTCACTAAGTATTACACTAAATATCACACTATTTGGTGTAAATGATAAAAAATACTTGTAGATAAAGCCATACCTTGCCAGAACATCTGACTGTGTACCAAATGGAGACATATCATGTCACACCACTGTGATGATAGGGAGTATACTGATGCTATGTTGTATACCTTATCTAGTTGAGGAAGCAGCTGAAGACTATCTGAAAAAGATTCGGACTGTGTTCCCGGGAGATAGCATTCCAAGGTTTGACATGCTGTTGTTAGGGATGGGTCCAGATGGTCACACCTGTTCCTTGTTTCCTGGACACGCTTTATTAGAGGTATGAGTCTACTTCTACTAGGTCCACTGGACACCCTTTATTAGAGGTCCACTGGACACCCTTTATTAGAGGTATGAGTCTACTTCTACTAGGTCCACTGGACACCCTTTATTAGAGGTATGAGTCTACTTCTACTAGGTCCACTGGACACCCTTTATTAGAGGTATGAGTCTACTTCTACTAGGTCCACTGGACATCCTCTCCTGCATTGCCAGGGGTTTTTTTTCTGGGGGCTCTCTGGGGCCGACTGTAGACCTCATTCTGAATTTCGTTGATTTTTTAATCCAGAAATGTGAAGTTTACTCACATTAGATCAAGAGAATTAATTTTCAATTTTAAGTATTTCATTATATTTCATATTTAATTTGATTTAACTTGGTAACTTGTAGATACACATTGTCAAATTGTTATTCAGAAAAGGTGAAACTGCTGTACATAAAGAATTCAATCTGCAATAAATTGATAGTTCTGTTGGCTTTACTGTTTCAGGAATCGTCTAAAATCATTGTTCCAATTAAGGACTCGCCCAAACCACCTCCAAATCGTGTGACCATGACGTACCCTATCATTAATAACTGTTCCTGCGCTGTATTTGCCTCCTGTGGAGCTAGTAAAGCTGAAATGGTTCAGGTTTGTGACATTGTTCTTACTAGATGTTCAAAACTGTTACCATAGAAACACATTGAAAATTTTTGATTGGTCGAAATTAAGGTATTTTCTGATTAATTTGAAAATTGGTTTGAAAAGATTAAGGATGATAAACAGTTGCCATGGTGATCAGTTGAAGGCCCCTTGGAGGAATCTTGTTGGGTCAACCCATCCAAAACTATTGATGACTGGGGTGTATTAGTCTGCAGTCCTGGCAGTTCCAGTTTATTTTACTCTGTGGAATTTCTTTACTTATATGATTGCTATATATAGCAGCCATTACTGTCCTCTGTTGTATATAGTAAGTTTCTCCTCAGTACTTATTCAGAATATTGGGACATTTGGTAGGGGTCACTAAAACACTGGACAAATAAGACTTCTTCCTTTTGAATCTATCATGGAAGAATCTGTGGTATGAATGTTAAATATGGCTTTACTGGCGTAGATTAAAAAGCTTTTTGACAAAATTGTAATCTTTTATAATATAAGTATCTAGTCCGTTAACTGGGGGTGATTTTAAAACAATATTGTTGATGAAATATGTCACCTGCCCTTGAGACCAGGGGTATTGTACCACATAGAATAATATAAATGACTCTTTGTTTTCAAGCCATGACATATTAAATGTGGCATCACCCTGTGAACAATGGAATTCAAAAATGTATGATTAAAGGGTGTGGTCCTTCCTTGTACCATTGAAGTGGTACTGGGAAATGGAGTTAAATATTTCAAATACTACTTCTTAAGTACAGCTGAAAGGATTTTAACTGCATTTGTATAGTGCATCTCTGGGCACTGTGTATTCAGTGAACAGTGGGCACCTTTGGGTATGACAGTGTTAGGTCCCACTGATTTCCTACTTCATTTCTTGTACTGTATTTTTCGGGTTATAAATCACACTGGTCTATACACCACAGGGCCGATTTTTACTGATTTCTTCAATGTGATCTACATATTAGGAAATATTTGATATGATGATCAAAATTGATGAAAGTGACCATGACTATTTTCTTGATTTAATTAATTGCAAGAGCTTTAACAATGAATGTTTTTATCAACAGAGAGTACTAGAAGGCAAGGAGGAGAACCCCCTTCCTGCTGCTCGTGTACAGCCTACCAATGGCAAAGTGTACTGGTTCTTGGACACAGCAGCAGCATCCAGACTACAATCAAAATGACTAGTAAACAAACAAAGTCGGACATCAAACAAACTTTGATTCTGGATAAAGAATGTATTCTTATAAAATTCTTATAAGCAATCACGATAAAAAAGGTTTCTGATAATAATCATTGCCACGACAACATTGAGAGAATTAGAAAAACTTGAAAGCATGAAAGAACATTATACCTTTCCTAGCTGGCAGAGTATATATCCCAAAGTCATGTTCAGTCAGAACATTTTGACAGCCTGGATGGTTGTATTGTGTAGCTGTTAAGAGGTAGGGTTGTAACTTGTGATTTAATAATGCTTTTTAGGCCTCTCATGAATGTATAGATACTGTAGCAAGTCTTCCAGAGGCCCCTAAAAATGTAGACAAATCTACAGAATGACTCTTAGGGATACTGCACCAGGGCCCACAACTCTGTCATGCAAACTCTGAAAACATAATGACTAATTCACTAACTACTTAAAGTTATCAGGATAGGTATTGTTATGTTATATGACAAGTTATTAACCAGAAATTAAATAAGTTTCTCAGTTTGTAGAGACCATAGGTTTGTACAGTATATAATGTTGTTAATTGTAATGCAAGGCTATGTTGAAGGTATAATGCTGTCAAAGTTTCGCATGATGCTTGTATGAAACAAGTGATGATTAAATTCCATGATCCTGTTACGATGCTGTGAAAGTCCTCGTTAGTTATTCTTGTTATGGATTTGTTTATCATGTAAAATGCTTACAAATAAAAATGCTTTATTCCATTTGATAAATTTTACTTATGGGATTTTTGCTGTTCAAAGCTACCTTTGTGGTGGCAAATGGCAGATACCTTTGTAGTAGAGGTTTTGATATATGGGGATACCTTTGTAGTAGACTTTGATATGTGGGGATACCTTTGTAGGAGAGGTTTTGATATATGGGGATACCTTTGTAGTAGACTTTGATATATGGGGATACCTTTGTAGTAGACTTTGATATATGGGGATACCTTTGTAGTAGACTTTGATATGTGGGGATACCTTTGTAGGAGAGGTTTTGATATATGGGGATACCTTTGTAGTAGACTTTGATATGTGGGGATACCTTTGTAGGAGAGGTTTTGATATATGGGGATACCTTTGTAGTAGACTTTGATATGTGGGGATACCTTTGTAGTAGAGATTTTGATATATGGGGATACCTTTGTAGTAGACTTTGATATGTGGGGATACCTTTGTAGTAGAGATTTTGATATATGGGGATACCTTTGTAGTAGAGGCTTTGATATATGGGGATACCTTTGTAGGGGAGGTTTTGATATATGGGGATACCTTTGTAGGGGAGGTTTTGATATGTGGGGATACCTTTGTAGTAGAGGCTTTGATATGTGGGGATACCTTTGTAGTAGAGATTTTGATATGTGGGGATACCTTTGTAGTAGAGATTTTGATATATGCGGATACTTTTGTAGTAGAGGTTTTGATATATGGGGATACCTTTGTAGTAGAGGCTTTGATATATGGGGATACCTTTGTAGTCGAGGTTTTGATGTTGTGTACAGCACAAAAATATGCATACAAAATGTATACAAACATATTAACAACATCCCTCTGGGAGTTTTTGTTTTGTCATGTGACTGATATAATCAGTAAACTGTATAATATATAAAAATATATACCTGTACTTGATGTCCCTGTTACCATAACACAAATATGTTTTGGGTAAGTCTGTGGTGTAACATTATGTTTAAATTTAGATTTTATCTCATTTTGTGATATGAGGTTCTACTCCTTAACACACTAAATATAATGCGGTAGAAAAAAAATATATATATATTTGTAATAAAAATAAAAAAGTAAAGGAAAGGTCTTTACTCTCTTTGTTCTAATCATTATCTACTACTACACTTTATCTGTACCTGGACCTCTACAACAAGATATCGTCAATGTTCCTGTATGATATATTCCTAGGAAACGGGACATGTGTAATACTCAACAGGTGTTTCAAGAGGGAACACATGCCCAACATTATGTGTGATGTTAGTTACCTTTGGTGTTTACAAAGTTTTATCTTTGTTTTTAAAATCTATACCCCCTCATGTGCGCTTTCGCCTTTGTGCTTCGTAGTCCGTCCATTGACTGCATCATTTTCTTCCTAGGATCAGTAACTTCTGAATAACCAAATATTTCGAGCTCATGACATTTTGAATATCGGCTACAACAATCAAGTTTGGTCTAAGGAAATACCTTCACCCATTTTCAAGCAACAGGGTCACTGAAATGAGTTAAAATTTTTAAAAAATTTATCAGGAAAACAAAACTCATTCAACAAGAATCAACAGTTTTATTTATTATTTCTTGAACACAATTTTGCTCTCAAAAATATGAGCAGTGTTCATCTTCAATTCACAAATTTATTAACATAGACAATAAATAACTTCATTTTTCACATTATTAAATATGTACATGTTTTTCTATCATTGGCATTGATATTGCAGTTGAAGACAACAAAATGAAGTAAAACGTTACTAGATTCAGTGTGTCAACGAAAAAAGTATTTTTATGTGACATGAAGAATGAAGTACATAGTATGTGTCATAGGCATCAGAACTGTATCACATGAAACATGGAAATTAAGATTCCTGGTAGTTCCCATCAGAACTATACCAACTACCTAGTCCAAGACCTTTTGTCACAATGTTCAGTCCAGTAATTAGGCATTAAATGAAGATAATGCAGTTTAGTTGTAAAATGTTTGTGAAATTTGGTTTTAACTACTGGTCAGCAAAAGTCATGTTAGCAGGACACCTGCCACCAGTTAGTAGAACACTAACCACAACTTAGCAGAACACTAACCACAATTTAGCAGAACACTAATTTAACCACAACTTAGCAGAACACTAACCACAAGTCAGTAGAACACTAACCACAAGTCAACAGAACTAGTCAATGGAATTTTTCTTTTCATTGCTGAACAATAATTTGTGTGAATGACGAAACCAGGTATTGGAAATCAAAATTTTCATGTTGAACGAAATATATCCTAAAAATTGTTGAAATGTAGACATAAAAAAAAAATGACTAAATCAATTATTTAGAAAATGGCAATTAAATCCATATCCTTGGGTCATTGATAACCCTTATACAGTGGTCAAGTTAAATAAAAATAAATGGGGGAAAAAAATATAAAAGTTAATCTTCAATCATCAACTGGTACTTAAATAATTAAAATTCTGATTAATTAATGCCATTCAATATCTTAATATGTCAATGTTATACAATGTAAATAAATCATCAAAATCCTATAAATTATATTAACTATGAACAATTATTGAAATATAACTAACACTCAAATGAGGCACTTTTTCAATGTCATATTTTTCCAATCTCATTTTAATAGTCATATAGTTGATTACTTTTAACCAACAAATCATTTATTTCGAACTCTTCCATACATCATCTATGAAACACACTTTTTATGGATTATCATACTTATTTCCAGGCTATATCACAAAGATAACTTAATCACAAGGTTTTGGAATCAAATCTTACTTGGCGCAGGCTGGCGCAGAATCTACTGATGAACGCAGATATTGTCAGTGAGAACACACATTGAAATTACTTTGTGATCAACTTCTCATCTCAACACACTACACCCCACCTCACCCCTCTCAAATGCCAGAATATATAAAAAGAAACAGTGGTTGTTAGTCACAGATTACTGAACACCAACCACCCTATATATACAGCATTCACAGTGTTTACCTCCATCATCAATTCATTCTAATTTACATAAGGAATTTGTCACAGATGATAATAAGTTTATTTGCAGGTTACGAATAGTCATGCTACATATATTTGATAAATATATTAACTTCAGCTTTTATTTCTACACACTTGGAAATCAGTGAAGTAAATGAAAACGGTAATTTGATAAATCACATGTATTGAAAACACCATAGGATTTTTTTTTTTTTTTTCTGTTTTTCTGTTTTTTTTTTTTTTATATATATGAATTAAAGTTACGAACTTTCAATGTACATTTTCTGTCCACATCTAAGAAGAGAGACTACGGTAAGTTAGCATTGGAGAGGCTTAAAATGACTTTTTTCTGTAATAGTCTGAAGATAACTTTCTTACGTTAAACCAGTACTGACATTCCAGTGCTCAGTTAAAACGAGCCAGTATAGAAGAGTTCTCATTTTATAGGGTACAGCAATGTATCACCTGTACAATTACCAGTTATATATACAATAGGCTGCATTGCAGTTCATATCACAGATTCTATCTATATGTGTCAAGTGTCACGTCATTATATAGGCAAAAACACTCTGCAAACAGTGGAATATACAGTAGGTGAAAGTGAAATATCACCCCAGTGAAATCAAGGGGCTTTCCACACAAGTTATATACTTTAATATGTCTACTGCCAACCCAACCAACTCATCCCATGTTTTCCTAAGTAAACACTGGCAGTGATTGATTAAAATAAGGAAATGCTACCAGGATTTGAGTCTATCACCAGAGAAACTGTTTAAACAAATAAAACATTTTTTTAATGTGTATGTATAACTTTATATAGTAATGGGACAATAATGATACATCATGACTAAACATCCTGACTGTCAGCTGCACAGTGCCAAGATTCTAGAAAAGATCTTATATAGTACTCTAGTTTAAAAACCAAAAATAATAAATAGATAATGATAAACGTAATGGTATGGCAATTACAACAGCTTTTGGAGCAACCTATAGTTAATATCTATTTTTCACCAAAGGGGACTTTGAATTCATTCAACATATGTAAGAAGCAAAAAATATTTGATTCACTTCATACATAGATTTTGGTCAAGTTGATAATGATGAATATACATTTGTATATATACCATGCATATCTTTAACAGTTTTTTTAATGATAATGTAGAGAAAATTCTTAAGATTCAAAGAATAATTTACAGCATATTTATGGTAGTCATTCTATCTCAGTAAACACTACTTTTTGATCCACTCCAGGACTTGTGGCGTGTAGTAGGAGATAAGGATGTCGGCACCAGCTCTTCTCATACTGGTCAACACTTCCATCAGGGTTGTCTTCAGGTCAAATGCTCCGGCTTTAGCACCGTGATACAGCATAGCATATTCCCCGGAGACCTGGTATATCGCTAAAGGATGTGTAGGATACTGAAACAACATACATCCCGGTCAACATTTAATTAAATGAAATTTTTTTATCTTTAATTTTCATAGAAAAACATGTTAAAACGTTACATAAATTTTCATTGCCTCAATCAGTGAAATAGCTATTTCTGCTTTTAATGGATATAACAAAGGAAAAGAGGAAATCTGATATATTATCAACATCCATCCTTAAATTCACAATGACTATACACTAATATTCAACCTAATAGGCTGGTGATACCATGGTAACTGATAGGTCGGTTGACAGGTTTTCCGTCTCAATGACTCCTCCCATGTCCAGGTCTCGTCATGCTGAACATCAGTGTTCTAGTTACGTGTACCCCATGTACCAAAAATGAAGACAAGTTTGAAAAACAATTGCATGAATGAATCACAACACAAAACTATCTTACCTTAGCCTTGACCATTCTGACCACATCCAAATAGGCAAGACCGGGCTTCACCATCAACATGTCCGCTCCCTCAGCCACATCACGATCCTAATGTCAGACAAACAATGGGGTTTTTTTAGATGAATAATTAATACAATGTTAATACAAGTGTAGTGAACAGAATAATACAATGTTAATACAAGTCTGGTGAACAGAATAATACACTGTTAATACAAGTCTGGTGAACAGAATAATACACTGTTAATACAAGTCTGGTGAACAGAATAATACACTGTTAATACAAGTCTGGTGAACAGAATAATACACTGTTAATACAAGTCTGGTGAACAGAATAATAACAGAATAATACACTGTTAATACAAGTCTGGTGAACAGAATAATACACTGTTAATACAAGTCTGGTGAACAGAATAATACACTGTTAATACAAGTCTGGTGAACAGAATAATACACTGTTAATACAAGTCTAGTGAACAGAATAATACAATGTTAATACAAGTCTAGTGAACAGAATAATACATTGTTAATACAAGTCTGGTGAACAGAATAATACATTGTTAATACAAGTCTTGTGAACAGAATAATACACTGTTAATATAAGTCTAGTGAACAGAATAATACAATGTTAATACAAGTCTTGTGAACAGAATAATACAATGTTAATACAAGTCTTGTGAACAGAATAATACACTGGTAATACAAGTCTAGTGAACAGAATAATACACTGTTAATACAACAACAGTCCGTATACATCACTGGATACGTTCCATCAATACATCACATAGAAACAATTGTATGTGTGTAATTACCGTCTATCTCCTTATATTTTGATCAATTTCAATCTGAAGTTTTCAAAACTCTTTAGGAATAACATTGTTTCCTGGGAGATCATGCAGCCGATTAATGCCATTTCATAACAGCAATTTTTAAAAGTAAGATATTGACTAACAACGAAAATGTTACAATATTCTTCCGGTCAAGGGATTACCCATTACAATATATCCGAACATCAAGTTACATCGCAGAACATAATGAGAATATCCAATATTTTTACATTTGTGAATCACTATTTGGTCTAAAACATATACTGGTAACCATGAATTTGCCTGTTACTACATGTACATATGAAGTGGTACCCATCTGCCAAAATTTCATGATCAACAGGCAGAAAAAACTTTTGAATCTGTAAGTTGATAAATATAACAATTATTCAGTTTAACCGTGTTTTACAAAACATCATTACTTTTACTGCAGTATGTGACAGGTGATTTCAGTTTGATTCAAGAGACACCCTTCATATATACTGGACTACTCTTTGTAGTAAGTACTTCTGTAGTGTGTAACATCAAAACAATACAGTATATTCTACCCCACCAGACAGAAATATCCACACTTACGGTGTGATATCTCTTATCTTACCCAGGCAAGACAGCCTGCACACACAGGAAGTGACATTTCAGGTTCATGTAGTTGCTAATGACGTCATTTTTATGACATGTCGGGGTCATTGACATCATTGATAATTGTCATCAGGGCCTCAAATGCAAATGACTATACCGATGGTTATGCCGTGTGTATCAATTTATTTTTAAGAGGAAAAAGGGGTAGAAAAAGGATCATTCCCTACCATGAGGGTAGAACAGAGACCCTTGGAGAAGATTCCTGACAGTCTTATCTTCGGCAAAGCCTTGGGTTAGACAATCAAGAATCTCCCTCTCGGTTAGACATTTTTTTGTCCTACCCTCCAGCTAGCGAAACATCTTATTAATCTATCATTCTTAAGTTAATTCTCTACATACCACAGCTCTTTCTGCCAGACCAACAGATCCAGGTGGTAGTTGATAACATTTCCTATCCCCATAGGATGGGGCTGACTTGGCAGCATCCCTGAAGAAACCAATGTATTTATTGCTAGTGTCCTTTTTGGTGACAGATTTAATGATAACAATAAAGAGCATGGCATTTGAATCACAGTATTTGGTTGATAAATTATGTAAAAAGTAACAACTAACACAATTTCATTCGATTTGGTAGATTCAATATACCTGGTAATCAACAAATGGAAAACAATGGAGCAAAAATACAAAATTATGTTGTTTTGAGTCATTTCTGAAAGATATCATCAAAGCTGCTCTTAAAAACTATGAGCAATACACATAAATTTTTCGATCATAATGCTGTTTCTAACCTAAATGGTCCGTAGAAAGAAGAGGCAAACTTGGCACTGTAACTGAGGACGGACACACGGTTTCCCAATCCCTCCTTGTGAAGGAGCTTCTTTATTGATCCAACCCGACCATCCATCATGTCCGATGGGGCGATGATATGGCATCCTGTAAAAGTCATCAAGATTTTTGGTATATTTTCGATTCCTTTTGAATCACTTTTCAAAAATTCAGATGTCACTAATCATCATTAAGATATTAGGAACATGGAAATCGGGGTGATCTCAGAAATCAGGGTGATCTCAGAAATCGGGGTGATCTCAGAAATTGGGGTGATCTCAGAAATCAGGGTAATCTCAGAAATCGGGGTGATCTCAGAAATTGGGGTGATCTCAGAAATCAGGGTCAGAAATCGGGGTCAGAAATCAGGGTTGATCTCAGAAATCAGGGTGATCTCAGAAATAAACATCTTTCAATAATGTTGATATATTACCAGCTTCATCCTGCTGGCTTACATTGCTGTTACCTACTGACAATTATAGAAAAATATTTCCCTCTCTTGATGAAGAATTACAATAGAAATGATTCTTAAACATGGTTTTCTTTGTCTATAGGTTCACACCTGCTTTAGCATAGGCTAATGATATCTCTGCTAATCTCTTAATGCTGGCCTCATTATCCAGACTACCATCTTCCCTCATCACACCTGAAAAATAACAATCATTGATAGCAATTTCTCCACGGTGGAAAGAACCAACAAGATAAACCTATTACAATGACAGTACTACTTCACCATCATTAAATTAATCTTTTAGGAGGAAATAATTTTATCATTACACCATTTCCAAATATTTACATTCATTTACATAATTTTAACAAGATGTACATATCATGATATGCACATCTTAGTAGAAATTGTGTTGGAGTATCAGGGGAGATAATTTTAGGTCATATTATTTTCAGAAAAATTAATGATACTCCTCAATAATGTAACCAACTACAAGTATCTCACATTAATTATATATTGTAATGTTGTTGACATGCTATATACATGTATTAACATTGTTAACATATTGACTAAAAGTGACTGTGATGTTTACACACTATGTACATCATAATATAATGTGAACTTATATACTCACCACAGTGACCGTGACATGTGTAAGGACACAAACACACATCACATGCTATAAGTAGGTCTGGGAAAAGTTTCCTCAGCATGCGTGTGGCCACTATAGCTGGTGTACTCTGAGAATCAGCAGCCGTACCAACGTTATCCTGTAAAGGTTACCAGGCATCAATGATAAAAATTCAGTGAATAAAACCACTTTGTGATAACAAGTATTCCCAAATAAAATTATTTCACAAAAATAAAATTTAACAGTTTCGACACAATTGCATCAATGTGTAGATTTCTAATACATGCATATCTCATACACATTTTTGTAATATCTACAATTACTGTTGTGACCAACTCTGTAACCTTTGCAACGCTAATTATTATACTGATACACAAGTGCAGTGATTTGATCAAATGAATGAAAAGACTCTCGCCTAGGGTCATTGAATTACACACTAAGCTTGAATTTTGTGCCGTTTGAAATCCTTTGGCCAAATTCTCATAAGGAATAAAAACGGTACATTGCTGACAATGATTTTCTAAAAATAGTAACAGTGACTTTGACCCAGCAACTCTGAAACTCAAACCTGTTCAAGGTACAATGTATTTTAATGCCTTATAAGAGAATGAAGTTTGATGGTAATTCCTCAAGAACTGAAGTTACTACAGTACTGAAATTTTTTTTTTTTTTTCCTGCTTTTTATTTTTGAAAACAGCATGAGTGACCTTACTCAACAACCCTAAAATCTGACTTAGTCAAAAATATTTTGAATCTCCATAAGAGTGTAAAATCTGATGATAATTCCAAAAGGAATGAAGTCACTAAAGAGGTGACAAATTTTGTTACAGATACAATAATGGAGGAATAGACAGGCTGGTTTCACATGGTGGGGACTGATAAATAGAAACTGTAAATATCAAGATTAACTTTCTATTTCGTTAAGATTATTAGAGGACATCCTCAATACTAAAGGGGTTATGATCACTTTCACTCTCTGCACGTCTGGAACGTGTCATGGGAAATTAAAGGCACAAGCAAAGTAATTTGATTGGTTCCAGAAGAGAAAAACTGACCAATCACAGGCTGATTTGCTCCTTTTGAAGATTACAAAGGAGCAACATCCAACTTCAAAGTCATTACAATGTACCATTATGCAACCTCGGGATTCGTTTGATGTACATCAAAGGATCAAACTAGTCTTTTCGTCTTGTCCACAAGGTGTCACACATGGAACCTTCAGTTTTGCCATGACATGTTCCAGGGATGCAGAGAGTAAAAGTGATCATAACCTCTGGAGTATCGAGGATGGTTTGAGGATAACTAAAACTAAACTCTGTTAATTTTACATAACTGGCTTGGCCAGCCATTCAATTTGAGTTAAGTTGTAGTTATCTCCTGATAAACTAAACAAAGTAAATTCTCAGATATTTCACTGATGTTTTTCACACATTTGTTTTACATGCCTTTTTTATTTTGCCAGGTACCCCAAATATCAGAACAGTCTTCAATCCGTTCTTGACCATGGGTTCCAGTGCTTCCTGAAGCCGATTGACCCCATATCGAGCCTGACCTGGCATACTGGTGATTTCCTGAACATCATCATCTTCATCTCTACAATAAACACAATGCACATAAATAAAGAACACAATCAAGATCGGAGTCATTCGTCTGGTTTAGATAACATTCTCAGATCAGCTTGTTTTAACACAAATGTTGATTGAACACTGGAATGTGAACCTCTACATCCAATTGAAGGAGGTGAAAGTTCAAACTAACATTCATTCCTCTTTTCTGATTGGCTGCAGTATTGAACACTTTGAACACTACACTTTGAGCCTCAACATGCAATCTGATTAGTTGCAGTTAATAGGTTCTGTTTAGGCAAAATGCCTTGATTTGAAAATTTGATTTTAGTTCACTTTCAGCACAAAAAACATCATCATCACCATCATCACCATCATCATCATCATCATCATCATCATCATCATCATCATAATCATCATCATCATCATCTTTATCAACAATTGATGTCATTTAAAATCATGGCTTGACAAAGTAAACACACATTTTGGAAACCTTGCATTCTGGCATTCAAAATTTTCAATCACCTTTTGCCTTAAAAACATATAGATCAATATAAGAGGACCTGTTTTCAGTGTCTCTAAAGAACTGTAGAAAAAGTCAAAAGTATATGTATTGATTATCCCAATACGCATAGGTGAGGTAATCTTCATAAAAAAAATAACAATTTAAAAACTAGCGGTCTTTGCACATTCAAATTACAATGCTGAAATATTTAGCATCAACAGCTAAGTTTTAAGTTGATCAGTTTTCGATGAAAGAAATTCAGCTGGGAAGAAACAAATCTAGCAGCAAGATTTTAAAAAGTTGATTTTTATGCTGACTTAAAATGTTTATTATTTTTTTAATCATCAAAAAGCTGATGCTTAATGTCTTCTCTGTAATTATGATCCAATCCTAGGATTGTGTAATGTAAAATAGGATTTATGTCTTATATCACTATCAGCATGGAGGACCAAGTCTGTGTGTATGGCTAAATAACTTATGTATGTTTGGTGCACATAGTCCGTAAGTAAACATCACTACGCATAGTACTATATGTATAACAATACAAGGAAAAATATACAGAGCAATTAAAAGCTATTGGATTCATTTCTTCTATCTAAAATGTTTCAATAATATTAGTGCAACTAAGGCCAAACTAAAACCATTTCATGTTTCTGGTAACCACACCCACATCAATATTTTGTGCCTACCAAAAACTTTTTAAGGCAATTTTCAAAGAAGCACTGATCTAGTCAAGATCTCTCTCCTAAATAAACTGTAAGAAATTATCTGTGACATGTTGAAAATAAATATTTGCCTATATACCTACGCAAATGAGTTTTGCCACCATATTAGAGGAAATAATTTTTTTTGGTTAGGCCTTACTTCCAACACATTCCCAAGTTACAGGGTAGATTATATACAGTAATTTTCTTTAATCAAAATGTAAGCAAGCTATTGATAGTCGTAACAATAGTCAAACTTCTTTTTTCAAGAAATTTAAAAAGCTCCACGACTAAGCGTGACACAAAGTCTTCATTTATTCCAATATTGTGTTTTTTGACTTTTTACAAGTTATGATTAACTTGAAAACTCTTGATAACTTTCATCATACAGATAATAAAGTATGACTTTATCAATGTTTTGCCTTTTAGCAAATCCTACATATGGTTTTGAAAAACAGTGCTAGATGGTTTAATTAAGATATAAAAAATGTCAATCGTGAAATTGCTTGTGGCATAAATATCAGAACATACATATAAATATTTTCAAAGTTGACAAAGATTTTTTTGTTTGATAACCTCCAATCAAAAATCATTATTCTTTGTAAATAATAACTGATATGTTTTAGGAAGTAACTACAAGGCATGTTTAATTGTTTAAAAATACCGAAGATTGACTTTATTATCCTAATGACCTCCAGCAAAGTTTATGAATGCCTTACAGGTATACTTTTTGACACCACATAATGTCACTATATACTGGTGTTACAACAGCTTTAAGGTGTTTTTTATTCAAATAAAGCCTTATACTAGTAATCCTGACTCTCTCAGGCTGTTACTGAATATCAGTGACATGACAGGTTGCTACCAGCAGCAATTATTAACTACTACATATATGTATCCTTAAGATATCAAAGTCTTTCTCAGCAAAGTAATCAAAGCATGTAATGTGACAACACATCACGGAGGTCAATTCGGGTCTAGAGATATTAAACGTGGACCTTCCTGATTTGTTGGTTTACGAACATCCGGGAAATGTTATATTGCTAACATCTCAAGTGTAACGTTTTAACATTGAGAGACTGATAATTTTCCTCAATAATATCAAGACTAGTGTAAGAAATTGCACAGGTGAGTGACGTCTAGGACTTTATCGTGGGAAGAAATGTACGTCACAACAGGTTTAATATTGCCTGAAGATACATGACTAAGTAGATATATATATACACTGTAACATTATCAGTGTCACACATTACAACACTATCAGTGTCACTTCATAACACCCTACCATATTCATTTTGAGACTTATAAATAAACAACATTCTTCTATAGCCTTTTCGGTTTTTTCCTAGTTTAAATAATCTTATATGCAGCACAAAATAAATATGAAACATGTCATTATAAGTGTACTGAGGTATCAAACTTCAATTACTTGACTACAGATTGAGTTCCATATCATCATAAATATCATCTACATTAAAATTCAGAAGTAAATCATTCCATTTATGTTTCATGTTTTAATGTACTTTAAAAATGCCTGCAATTTAAATTTTCTGATAATAATGAATGGGTGATCAAACATGCCTTATGTCAAAATTTGAGGTAGTCTCCCAGGGTGTATCCATAATGGATTCAATTTATTTTCTCACTACTGAAGCACAAAAAAAAAAAGAGAAAAATGTGGCCAAAACATATATCGAAAAGTAAATTACAACAAATCTCCTTTGGATGTTGAAAATCATTAATTCTATTTCTAGTTTTTTAAAATTCTCCGACAGTGTTCCCACATCCGTGTGCAAGTCAATAAATACATACATCTGATGATGTGTGAATAAAGACGATCATTTGATGACAAATCATATAATTTCTGTCTGATCAACAGCCCAAGTATTTTACCTGAGGGCAGGCTGACACACTAGACAGTAGTTAACGTCATCACCTTGCAATCATTGACGTATACAAGGAAAAAATAACACTAAGATTACAGGTATAATACATCAGAAGGACATCAACTCTGAACATGTATGAGATATTTATCAACAGCCACAACATGTCTGCTAACATCCAGTGATAAACAAATTCAAAGATTCATAGTAAACATGAAAAATTCATACTAAACATGAAATGATAAACAATAGTTATAAAGATGTCAAGCTACTAATACTTTGTCATGAAGTCTTCCCCTCTGACAACAACCACAATTAAGTTTTCTTTTAACAGCTCCAATAAAATCACAATCCCTGATATCTCATAGTTTGAGTGGTCAATGGCACCTGATGTGTACTTTTAGGCTGGAGTACATGTAATGAAAGAAGTCCTGCTTAACTAGTGATCTTGTCATCTGATGTGTGGTCTGTAATTCTGTAAGCATATGTGTCCTTTACAAAGGAAATTTCCATCAGACCAAGCTAGCAAGGTGTCACCAATAGCCTAAATTCACACTCTATAATAAAATCTAAAAGTTTGCAACAAACTTAAACATTTATCTATGTGTGTACCAATATCTTTCATCATTATCATAAGGATTCAGCAAATTTTAGCCCCAGAGTGTCAAAGCAATAAATTGACAAAAGAAAAATAATATAGCTGAATATTTGTTACACCCAGGGTCATTTTGAAGCTGGCTGTCCTCGTAGTAACTGGTGGCTATCCCACCGAACAACAAGCAGAAGCTAAAACCTGCCACAATCGGCATGCTATCAAAAACGATTAGGCTAATGCGGCTTGCTCAAGGATACAATCATTGATCCCTGATCTCACCTTCATGAGACTCAAATCTTGCTGTATGGATCAAAGAACCACACACATACACACTTCTTACACCAAAATGTTACTCTTGATTTTAATTACCAGCTATTAAAATTATATGAAACAATACTTTTCATATAGTAACCACATGTTCCCAAGTTGTTTAGTTACCATGGTAACACAATTTCAGGTAATATTGTTGGGTCAACACCACCACTGTCAACTTAAATTATTTAATATCTGTTGTAGTAAAGGCTGAAGGAAACGGAAACTGAAGTGTTGAAATACATTCTGTACATGGTGACAAACACAGACACCTTAAAGTATCAAAGACATGTCACACTGGTAATAACAGGCTTTCTGCTGCTTTGATACCAACTTAATTTGCTAGATAGTTTCCCTGCAGCTCTGAATGACATTTATTATGTTTATGAAATCTAACTAGGTAAATCAAGGTAAAAGTGAGATCTCAAATAGTTGGCATTTATTTTTCCTGGAAATATCTATTTAACATGCATGTTATCTCATCTTCAAGACAATTTCTATTGTATAAACAAACACAATGAAATATCTAGTTAGGACGTACGATGGAAGATATAAGATTTTTATTCATTCAATCTATGGGCCACATGGGACATAAATATATTGCATTAAACTATAGAACGGATATAACTGTAGAATTCAAACTTATAATGGAAAAATGGTCAAACTATGTGCAATCGCAAAAAAAAAAGGAAAAAAATCTCCCCTCTCTCTGTCCTGTTCCTTAATAATACTGTCATCCTTATTTCCTGTACTAAGGTTAAACTGTGATTTTTAACGTTTACATGTATATGACATAATATTTAAATTTTATGCTCAAACACGGACTGATCTTTATCTAAGCCCGTGGTTTTAATAACACTAATATGAAATATCAAACCTTAACGCTAAATACCACGATATGAATCTTTGAAGGCATAACACTACGGATGAATGATGTAACGACAGTCACGTTCTGACCTACAAAACATATCTCTTGTTTTATAGTTATCTGAAGCAGAGAAAACGAAATATGCTATCTTACGTGACAAAGATGGGGTAGATGAGATTCTCCGCACTAATACTCGTGTTGGCCGTCTGCCATGAACGTAAAACAGGATGGTGGTAACCGCTGTGAAGAACTGTGTGGTTTGCCATGTTTCTTTGCAAAATAACCTTCACTATGAACTTTGCACTACGACCTGTCGTGGGGCCACGTGGTTCCGGTTACAGGGAAAGGTTATACGTTTACGGAAAAGGCCTAGATAAACACTTTAAATAGCACATTTCAACAGATATTAAGGATTAGATACATATAAATATATCTCAACAAATCAAGTTATTCCGTGTATTTGTAAAAGAAGGTCCTAATTTTGTTCGAGTCCGGCAGAGACGTCTCTGATTCTGGTTAGTTATAAAAAGTCGATGGGAGTATTTTATAATCTAGACGGGGAGGTGCACTTAGCCCATGATTGAATACAATTTCATAATTTTGATTAATACAATTTCAAAACATCAAATACATGGGTATATTCTGGACCATGCCACTATTGTGATTAACTCAAACTGATCATGCAGTTTACTTGTCCAAATATCGTTGACTGAAAGTCCAACAGTGACTATGCATGGTCCTAGTATGCAGAGTGTACGGGACGATTTTGGATTTTTTTCCCCCGGGATAACGGAGATAGAGGTTCTGAAATTGTTTTTCAGTATTCAGTAGGTTTGCGTATCGCCGACGGAATTTGGTATGCTCGTAGAATCATATTTCATCATTGATCTGTAATTTCAAATTCAAACAAACCACCGTTGAAAACCTGTCCTCGCTATTGTACTCCTTTTCATGTCAAGAACAATTTCTCGCTAGCTACGCGATGTCAACGAATTACCACCAAACAAATACATAAATGAATTATATTGTGTTCATACTATAAGATTTATTAAAAAGCTGATCGATGAAGTACCAGTATTTTTCCAGAAAATATCCACAGGTCCGTACTCCAACTGCTCAGCTGAAACGACCGACATGTGTATCGAACATGTGACTGCACTTCTGTGTCTGATGACATCACTAAATCATTAAGACGCTTGATTTAGCTTACAGTGATACAGAAGCACGCATGCATATCTTAAAATCATCAGTTGAATGGGAGTGACATTTTGATGAGAATAAAAATCAAAATAAATTCATGATACTAAAGTTGTGGATATCCGTGTTTATGTGTGCGCTTCTTCTAAAGGGCTAGATTCAAGGTTTTTTTGTTGGGTTTTTTCACATTAGCCATTTTTCTTAGTAAACTTTAAAACAAAAAACTATACAGAAATACAGTTATTAACCTTTCTCGGCTTACACACTCGCTAGTGAACAAAAATTAGAAATGAGTCATCTGAAGTGATATTTCAGAAATAATTTTTCTAGTATAAGTCGATCATGTTTGGACTTTCGCAGCCAAAAAATTGCAGAAAGGTGTGGCAGGCAAGGGGCAAGGGATTGGTTTCTTGTTCATAGTTTAGAACTACATGGGGCTGTCCCTATATATAGAACTAAGGTTTAGCCCTTCCCCTCATACCCACCACTGTGATGTTGTCCTCCTCACGCCTACCTTTGACCAACCGGTTAAATGCTATTAGGATAGATTCGAGTCTGGTGTAGTCGTGCTGACAGAGCAATCTCCCTTCAAGTTCAGACGAGTTACTTCCCTTATATCACAAATGAGATTAACGCAGACTTCCGATCAACATGGGATGTTAAACGAATGCTTTTATTAGGAAAGATACACGGAGAGTTTTGTTGTACCTGTTATTACCTGTGTCTCTGCTGATACTCTGAAAGAAGTTTTGGTATAACTACTTAAACACGTATTTGTTTGAACCTTTCACCAGCCAAAGAAGAGAGAGGGGAATTTGTAATCAGTGGACCCAGGGTAAGGTTCCGGGGTAGCTATATCATCAATGCTCAATTGTAAAACACTTTGAACTGGTCCTTATATATATATGTCAAATATTTGTATAAGCCAGATTGCCTATAAATTCTGAAACATCTTCAGCCATATCGCTGTTTTGTTTTGTTTTTCTCAAGACCAGCAGATTTAACAGAATAATAAAGTATGTAAATAAAAATATATTAGAGTGTCCATTCTTTATCCAGAATAGTTCCAAACAGTCTTGCAACTTAATCCTTATTTCCCTTTCAAATCCCCATTTTAAAAAAAGCGCATTTGATTTCATTGGATATTTTCTATAGGTTTCTGAAATGTGTTTTGACAAACTTGCACAAAGTGATCAGTGAAAGTATGCATTGAACTTTTAAGACTAAATTTCCATTGTAGTTAAAACTATATTGCATAATTCATACATGCCCTGACACTCTGCGTTCTATACATATAAAAAAGGGACGCTTGAATTCGAATATTTAATTACCGTAGTTTACCGTTTCATGTATCGTCCTTAAATGACCAATGCTGTTGTAAGGACGGTAAAGTAATATGAAACCTTTCCAGCATAGTCGTTATCATCTTCCAAATTAAGAAAGTTATGAATATCAAAAAGAGACATATATGTTGGTCGGATTTATCGCCCCATGAACAACGACCGTAGCCAGGGGCATTTCGAGACAGGCTCTCCTTATAGTAGCTGGTGGTTACCTCACTGAACATTGTGCGGGAGGTCAGTCGCATGTAATCAATATCAATCAGTATAAGATGTCTTGTCAATACTGGAGACAAGCATGACAGGGCGACAAAAGATGCCCTTCATCGCTTGGATTCGAACCTCGCGCCTTGAAGCTTCGTCTGAGGCTACATTAGTCTGACAGTTAGCTATTAATATATGGTCAGTGAAGACACACCAAACTCATTCTCGAATGAACACGTGTTTAATGTTTGAGAACTTACGGTAAAGAAGCACAATCTCGTGCGCTCTACACTGAAGTTAACGGCTTGACGGGAATGGATTTAATCATAGCTTTCAAATCGATGAACAAAACTAAGCTTTCAAAAAAAGTAGAACAAAAAAGTCGTTGCAATAGTGAAACAGGGAAGCTTGGTCACTTCAGGTCGATCATCCTGTCTACATGTCATTAAGTAAAAAAAAAAAACGCATTTTCGGTCAATGTGTGTTTTGTGATACAGGTATCGGCATTTGAATATATGACGATAGAGACCTTCAAGTATCTGTGTTTTGCGGTTCGCCTTAAAAAAAACAACACACACACACACACACACACACACACACGATAAATTAACATGTTGCTCAAAGGAAAAGAGCAAATAATGAAACCTATACGATATCACTCTCGATAAGCGAAAGTGATCGTAACCCCTGGAATGTCGAGGACGACAGGAGAATTAATAGGAGACGTAATGCTTATTAAAACAGCAGTACAATTCCAGCAAAAACATAATAATGAAAACAAATTTTGAGAATAATTGGAAAAATGGATGCCCATTTTGGAACTATAGTATGTATGCTAACAAGTCTGTTCCCAATGGCCATGGCCTTGACTTTACCAAACTGATTTTAAATTTATTGAATTTCCACAAAATTAATGCTATTTTTATTTAATAATGATTATAACCCTCTCTCTCTCTCTCTCTCTCTCTCTCTCTCTCTCTCTCTCTCTCTCTCTCTCTCTCTCTCTCTCTCTCTCTCTCTCTCTCTCTCTCTTGTTTAGGATGTATAATGTTTTATATATATATATATAAATGTATTCATGAGTGAGTATGTGTGTGTGAGAAAATATCTTTGATAAGTGTAAGTGATATGATATTGTATGTGTGTGAGTATTTTGTTAAGTACATGTAAGTTTGCTATGTGAGTGTAAGTGGGTGTGAATGTTGATGAGTGAGTTTGTGTGCAGTAAGTAGTAGATACATGTGCATGATGATAAAGATGATGATGATGATGATGATGATGATGATGCATGTATATGTGTAAGACATATTCAAGTAAGAGCACACAAGTGTGAGAGTGTGGGTGTATGTTTTTGTGCGGTTTCTCTTGTATATTGTGTATTATGTAAAAACTTGTCAAAAAATAAAAGAATTACAAAAAAAGGATATGTAAAAAAACAGCAAAACAAACCACTAAACGGCCGTGTTATTATTTCACCTAGTATTGTTGTGAAATTCTCATCATACCAAGCAAACAATGCATTATTAATAACAAGTATTCATGTCCCTATGGATCTAATTTCCCCTTTCTTACGCTCACACATCAGCCATATATGGTTGCCTTCATCCATTGTAATTTTACTTTTAATGATATACCACCAATTAATTCATATTCACAATTAGTTTAGTAACTTTAGTAAACGCTGTCCGTTTCTACTGGTCCTGTTGTCTGTGGATCGCATGCTATGGGCCTTCCGTGCGGCGGCAAGTAAGGTAACCACCAGCTTCTACTGAGAGACCCCGCCCCAAAATGGCACCAGCTGTTTACGAGGCGATAAATGAGCAATTGAGCTTGAGTTTTTTTAAAGACTAATTACTGTTTAAGACAATTAAATCAAAGTCCGTCTTAAGTAGGAAGATAGCACCAGGAGTGTCAACATACTCGTGTCTAAAGAAAGTGTTGTTTAGTTATAAATACACGACCAGGCTTTACCTGAAACCCTAGGGCAATATACTTGCCTCAGGGATGTTAGATAAAAACACCGCGTAAACGAGGTCTACGACATTGAACAGAAATATTTATAGGCAGAGTGTATAAGTCTATCGTAAGTTTTATTTTTATTTTGATCACGTGCTCCGTCCCGGTTGACTTCACAGGGGTTTTCCCGCGGCCAACTACAGGTAACTGATCCATTTTCGATTAGTTTTGACAACCCTAGTGCCACAGAAAATTCCCGGAGCACGCCAGATTTATTGTCAGAATGCCGATACGAGGGGGGAGCCGGGGAAGGCGAGGTCGCCGGGTGATGGACGAGGAACAACCACTCCCCGAGGAAGTGGAGATGGAGGAGAATTTGAGAAAAGAGTTAGAAAACGTAAGTAGTTTTAAAGCAGCGTTACTAGAATCAGGGTCGTAATCCCTAGTTGCAGACACGCCGTGTATAACCCCGCCTACCCGTACAGGTACAAGTTACACATATCTTATGCAGTAATCATTATTTGGGACCCCGGCGAAAATAGGTGCCGATGAAATTTACAAGGACGTCGGTATGAAATCGAAAGTTGGATTTACATAAACCATCGCCATGTCGTGTGGTGATTAATTCTACAAGTTTAGTCAGCTTTTAAAAATAGTACAGATCACATATCAGGATGAATCAGAAGTTATCTCTAAGAGTCAGCACACATAATAAAAGTATTTTAGATAAATTATCTATACACAATTGTAGATTTCCATGTATGGACGAAGCTAACTGATAACTCTTTATACTTAATGGAAATAATATATCTAATTGACCTCATTTAATGTATATACCAATGACGAAACAACCATTGTATTACTGTGATAAGATACACAATTTTTCATTTGATTATACCTGTCTGTTATTAATACCTCTCCTCCAAATAAAAATGAAAAGTATAAAATGCACATGTGTTGTCACTATACCAGTATGTCATGTTCTTAAGATTAAAAAGCTGAAGATAAAAAAAATACCATTTAAGATAGGTGTGGAATTAATAGATTTCAGTTATGTCCCTATGGTAACTGGTAAAGACTATTTGTAAATTATCATTTCATTGCCTGCTTACTTTGCACATAATTTTTAGTGTTAAATTTCTTGTACTGTCAACAACATCTCCATATGGTGCTACAACAGTGGGTAGCAGGCATTATCTTTAAACACAGGCTTTAAGCACTGGGATTAAAGTTTAATAACTTTACCTTAAAAGGCTTATTGTTTGTTAATCCCTGCCACTAGTTGGAGAACATTTAGACAATCAGAGCTTAGTAACAACAAATCAGACGGTCAGTTGGTCAAACCATCACAGTGTGTGCCACAGTTTATAACAAGTGATGTACACTGCATGTCTCACATTTTAGAAGAAATACTAAGCTATGTATAGAAATTCACCCACAAAATTTGGATATGTAATTTACAATACATTATTGCATTAAATGCAAAGTAGATTTATAAATCACAGATGATATTGCATATTGCTATTCCAGGTTGTTTTTTACTGCTGAATTTGTGGCCCCCATTCCCAATTTCAATTATAGCCTTATATTTTTTCCAGGCCAAGCGTTAACATTCCCAACAATCTTTGTCTGAATGAATTGTTGAAACATCAGGATTTTTCTTGTCCAGTGTATAATGTGTTGACAGTTAGCTCTGTACACAGATGGTCATGTATTTGCCCATCAAAGTATGTGAGCTATACAGAAGAGAATATAAAGCATTTTAAAATTTGATTAAATTTTAATATAGTTCTATATTGTTATTTTTTCCCAAAATTTGAGAATATGTCACATACTTTTTTGCAAGTTTCTGATAAATTTAGATTTTTAGAGGTCATATTAATTTGGGCCCTGTTTCCAAAGTTTTTTTATGCAGAAAATGATTTGAAAGCCGTTAATTTTATCATTGAAAGATATATCTAGAACTCTTATCACACAATTAACTTATATTGCTGATAAACAACTTTAGATTTTTAGAGGTCCTCCTGGTTTGGTTTAATTTGTTATTTAAATGTATTTATTCTGTTTGTTTACACTGCAGCATAAAATGTCTGCATGTCATTGACATCATGTCTGTTACATTGGCCACACACCATTTTGTAACAGTGTACTTGAACTGAAGTTCATAATTCTATTTTAAACTGCTTGGGTAAGATTTCACTATAAAATGTGTATTCATCGCTCAGTTGTGTGCTAGTTAAATACCTTTGTGTTAAGGTGAGTTAAGAAATCACATATCCTTCTGTTCAAGACATTGATTCATCTTTTTATCTGAACAGAAAATCTACATTTGTAATAGGAGAAGGTAAAAAGTTAGCACTGTGCTGATCGGTAGTGTGTAGCAAACTGTGTCCGCCCATCCGATACTATCGAGTTATACAACACTGCCAATGTGTTCAGTCAGTGGTACACATATGTTGTATTGTTAAAAACAAAGATGGAATTATCATGAAATCTCATTTTTATTTTGGTATACTATAGAGTAGTATTATACACAAATATTTATGTTTACCAGTTGAAAAACAATTCTCAAATATGATTTGAAAGAATTTGCTTAAATGATAATAATATCAATTTGAAAAAAAATTGTTAGAGCAATATATCTGTCTGAAAAGGACTTGACTTAAAATAAACAGCAATGTTGTGCTGTTCCATATAAGATTTAAGTACATATTAAATAAGGATTTTTTATCATCAACTAGTGATGCTCTCGAAATGGTGATTTGACAGACTTTAAATTCCCTACTGCCTCAATATTTATGCCTAGATGACAATACTGATTTATTAATGTTTTTGTTTTCATGTCTGATGCTGGTCACAGAAATTCAAGCCCATGTTTGAACAGGTAAGTTAAAATATTAATTTGCCTTGGCAAGATAATCAAATGTTTATTTTTATAAAACTAAAAGTTGACAAACAAAATTGTTTTCAAACAGAAATACAGTAACAGTGAAGTTTGTTTTCATGAAATCTCTTTGTTACAGATCAACCTTCTCAATTAATCTTAACCATAAAATTCCCTTAGATATAAGTAACCAAGAGCTTCAATGTTGCCTGGGAATATAGATTTTAAAAGTTCTGCAAAGTTATGTGAACTTGTGTTCTATTTCTCAGTTCAAGGGAAGTAATTCTCATTAAAGGAACTGCTTCAGAACTTTAACAGTCATTCTTCTGTGTAGACTAAGTATGTAGTGTATCGTCATTGTCGTTATCAATTGACTTTGTAGTACATAATACAGATCATTCACAGGTTATACGATTTCGTGTTCCCTGTGAGGATGTCAACACACCATGGGCATGTACAGGAAATATAGGACCCCCTTGTAGCTTGCCAAACACCTATAATTAGGCATTGTCTCTGCTCAGTTATAGTCTGTATGTTAATGCATGTGTACTAGAAAGGTTATTAGCTACAAACTGGAGTTATTACCTATGAAGTGACTAACCTTGTGTGTATAAGCTAAGTTATGATGGCCAGGTATATTATTCACAATTTTTTGACACATCTGTCAGTTTCTGGGTCTGTGTCACCATATCATCCAATACATTTGATTTTTGACAGCCTTTCGTTTGATATATTGGTCAACTTACATCAACTGACCAGCACAGTACTATCTGGGTCAGTGGTTTGATATGTACAGCCATGGGAAAAATGTATCAGTGAATACAATTCACAGACCAGTAATTGCATACCAGTAATATTGTAAATGATACCTAGTGAACAATATTTGGATATCATCCATTTCGATCGTGCTTTCGAGGTCCCGCCCCACCATCTCTCTCTCTCTCTGTTTTCTATCCTTATACAATTTTTGTGAACAATATTTCTTTGTTAAGCACAGGATCTTGTATGTAGGTTTCTGTTGTTCACTGGTTGTGCCCTTGTGATAAGGAATGGCTGACATGCAGCCATCTTGGATTTGGATTATGAAAGTTTCCTTACCTATCCTCATTTCTTAAGAAATGCTGATTGGATCATTCTAACATTACAGACACTACAGGTGAAGGATTACTTTGGTCCCTAGTTATGCTGTTTTGATTTTGAAACTTATCAGAAAAACAAAATGGTTGATAGGTTGTTAACCTTATTTCATAGGAAGTACTCAGGTGGATAGATATTTTTCATGTGATGTATGTTCACATTGGTCCTCAGCAACTTTGATACCCTTTTAAGTTTGAGACTTATTAAAAAAAAGATGGGGGGGAGGGAGTTGAGACATAGCCCTATTAAAGTTTTTTGTCATAGAGTTAAAGTGTTATTTGTTATCACCAATTTGACCACAAATTATTTTATGGTTTGCTCTACTGATTTGTATTTTAAATTCATATGTAGTTTACAAGTTGTTTATTGATGTTACCATTAAGTTACCTGTCAGTACAACATGTTATGTAATGGATAGCAAATAAGAGGAAAGAGGAGACATTGGTTTAACTTATAAAGAACCAATAATTATTGTACAATGGTGGACACCAAGACCCGAGATCTCTTGTTTGTCATAAGATAAAATAAACAGAAGGAATTAAGTCAGGATTCAGATACATCTGCAGTGATTGTATATATATATAGGTCTGTGTGAGAATTGGTGTGAAAATGTTTAGTTTCAAAAAAAATTGAAAGTGACATACATTATGCTGACTCAACCCCCAAATACAACACAAAATACTGTAATAGGAAATTCTCAATGTGCTGATAATGAGACAGATTTGATTTTTTTTCCATTGTTATTTTTGAGTACTGTTAGATTTTTTCAACAAATAAAAATTGATATTGTCTTTCAGGAATTATAATTTTTTTTTGGGTTGTGTTTCTAAGTTATATTACATTATGTAAACCTTATACTTGTGTATATAGTTTAATCTCTTGGTATGTAAATAGTCTGGTATGACAGAAATAGCTAGTATAGTTAATTGGCTATCATACAAGAAAAAAAATGTTTAGTTTAGTCACAGTCCAACATACCTACTCTACATTCCAACATTGCATCAGATACTGAATATGACAAAGGCAATATATAGGTGAAAGTATTTGAAATATTGTTGAAACTTATCGCTGAATTTCTGTATCAATTTTATGTTAATGAATAAACAGGTGAATTATATTTTTAGGCAATGAGAATGAAAACAACAGTTTGATTCATGCATAGAAAGTTATGTGAAGGTTTATGTAGAACAAGTTCATGTTTGACAAGTGTAACAAGACACGTCATTCAAACCAAAAGGATTTTTAACAGATAGAAATTTTCAGAAGGTAATATTTTGAGAATGAGTCAATATCAAAGCTGGAACACTATGTACACAGTGATATTTGCTTGGCCTTATAAATTCAGACTGTAATACGTTAATGTTTGTAATTACATAACTGTATTCTGGTCAATGTTTCAGTATAGACTATGATATATAACAGACATATACATACATTAAGACTGTCAGCGTCAATTACTTCAATGTTTGTAATGATATTTTATACAAGGGGTAGGCAATGCTGTTCCTTACACTACCTTGCGCCATGTGTTAGATGTTACCAGATATATCAGCCAGGTGTGAAACAAGCTCGATCAGCATTAACTAAGTACAATGTCTGTATATACCTCCATATTCAGACGACCCCTATGTTGATTGTTGTTTGGAACACTTAAGTAATAAGTTTTCTATTGATGTGTTTAATTGGATTTGGTCCTGGAGCTGTTACAGATATCAAAGGAAACATGAATTAAATGGCTAATTTATGTTCCATTACAAAGTCAATTTGTGACATTATTAACTGTCATGGTTTAAGAATGGAATAACATGTATGTTTACATGTATAATAAACCCCAGACATGGACACTTAAACAACTCTCTGTTAAGCAGAGCTAACGTGATCTTTTATATTCGTAGGTAGAATAGAGGATTCGTTTACATCTCCCCTTCTTCATATAAGATGTGACTGGTTCCTAAATGTTCAATTGATTTTCACAAATAACACACCAACAGCCATGATGTGGTACATATAAGAAGATACACTGTTATTCAAGTTAGGAAGTAAATTTTTTAATCGATGCCTTTTTAACGGTTACTGAGTAATTTGTCTTTCATATTAATTTGATTTATTACAAACTTTTAAAAGATCAGATTTTTAAATCAATGCTTTTTAACGGTTACTGAGTAATTTGTCTTTCATACTAACTTAGTTTATTACAAACTTTTAAAAGATCACTGTTGTTAAGAGCTACTTGACTGAAATTTTAAAAATCAAAACTTCGTTAGAAATTAATTTAGTAAATAAGACTGAAATTTAGGATAACAACAAAAAAAATATCATCTACTGTGGTTAAATGAACATAAGTGTGACATACAAGTGTCAATATTGCTAATTATAGACCTGTAAATAGTCTGTTATCCCATGTTTAAAGTTTCATAAAGAGAGATTAAACATTAGGCTCTGTGTATGACTTCTGTATATAAGATATATAGAATCTAGTAAGTAATACAGACAAATTGTTCATCAGCCAAAGGGATTATTGAGACACCTAAATTTAGACTACTGTTTTTTCGATTTTAGTTAATAACTTTGTATCTGTTTTATGTTCTCTGTATGTGATGTAATTTATGTAATATTTGAGTCTTGATAAAGTAGCAGATTGTCTAGAAAGTTTTGACAATTGTCCATACTGTCGTTATTACTTCATTTCACCTATATGTAATATATACATACACCAGTCTATTTGTGGCATAATTTTCTTGTTTGCCTGAATTCTGTTACTGTTTCTTTCAGCATGGACGCGAAGGGCTGCCCCTAAACAACCTACGGGATGAGCTCATAGATGAGGGAATCACAGAGAATATTCCTGACGAAAGAGTTCAGGAACTCCTGTTGAGGGCAGATGCTGATGGCGACGCCCACATAACTTACAAGGAGTTCATGGCAATGGTATGTTCCTTAACATAGGAAATGTATACTGCAATATATTCAGTTCTTGTAGCACTTGGGTGTTCATTTCATGACAGTGATCTGTTCCTGTAACAGGGACTTTGTGACAGTGATATGTTGCTTTAACATAAGGGAATTAATGATAGCGATATGTTCCTGTAACATTAGGGGGGATTCATGGTAGTGATATGTTCCTGTAACATTAGGGGGGATTCATGGTAGTGATATGTTCCTGTAACATTAGGGGGGATTCATGGTAGTGATATGTTCCTGTAACATTAGGGGGGATTCATGGTAGTGATATGTTCCTGTAACATTAGGGGGGATTCATGGTAGTGATATGTTCCTGTAACATTAGGGGGGATTCATGGTAGTGATATGTTCCTGTAACATTAGGGGGGATTCAACATTAGGGGGGATTCATGGTGTGATATGTTCCTGTAACATTAGGGAGTTCATGGTAGTGATATGTTCCTGTAACATTAGGGAGTTCATGGCAGTGATATGTTCCTGTAACATTAGGGAGTTCATGGCAGTGATATGTTCCTGTAACATTAGGGAGTTCATGGCAGTGATATGTTCCTGTAACATTAGGGAGTTCATGGCAGTGATATGTTCCTGTAACATTAGGGAGTTCATGGCAGTGATATGTTCCTGTAACATTAGGGAGTTCCTGTAACATTAGGGAGTTCATGGCAGTGATATGTTCCTGTAACATTAGGGAGTTCATGGCAGTGATATGTTCCTGTAACATTAGGGAGTTCATGGCAGTGATATGTTCCTGTAACATTAGGGAGTTCATGGCAGTGATATGTTCCTGTAACATTAGGGAGTTCATGGTAGTGATATGTTCCTGTAACATTAGGGGGGGATTCATGGCAGTGATATGTTCCTGTAACATTAGGGAGTTCATGGCAGTGATATGTTCCTGTAACATTAGGGGGGGATTCATGGCAGTGATATGTTCCTGTAACATTAGGGAGTTCATGGTAGTGATATGTTCCTGTAACATTAGGGAGTTCATGGCAGTGATATGTTCCTGTAACATTAGGGAGTTCATGGGTGATATGTTCCTGTAACATTTCATGGCAGTGATATGTTCCTGTAACATTAGGGAGTTCATGGCAGTGATATGTTCCTGTAACATTAGGGAGTTCATGGCAGTGATATGTTCCTGTAACATTAGGGTTCCTGTAACATTAGTTCATGGCAGTGATATGTTCCTGTAACATTAGGGAGTTCATGGCAGTGATATGTTCCTGTAACATTAGGGAGTTCATGGCAGTGATATGTTCCTGTAACATTAGGGAGTTCATGGCAGTGATATGTTCCTGTAACATTAGGGAGTTCATGGTAGTGATATGTTCCTGTAACATTAGGGAGTTCATGGTAGTGATATGTTCCTGTAACATTAGGGAGTTCATGGTAGTGATATGTTCCTGTAACATTAGGGAGTTCATGGTAGTGATATGTTCCTGTAACATTAGGGGGGGATTCATGGTAGTGATATGTTCCTGTAACATTAAGGAGTTCATGGTAGTGATATGTTCCTGTAACATTAGGGGGGGATTCATGGTAGTGATATGTTCCTGTAACATTAGGGGGGTAGTTATGTTCATGGTAGTGATATGTTCCTGTAACATTAGGGGGGATTCATGGTAGTGATATGTTCCTGTAACATTAGGGGGGATTCATGGTAGTGATATGTTCCTGTAACATTAGGGGGGATTCATGGTAGTGATATGTTCCTGTAACATTAGGGGGGGATTCATGGTAGTGATATGTTCCTGTAACATTAGGGGGGATTCATGGTAGTGATATGTTCCTGTAACATTAGGGGGGATTCATGGTAGTGATATGTTCCTGTAACATTAGGGGGGATTCATGGTAGTGATATGTTCCTGTAACATTAGGGGGGATTCATGGTAGTGATATGTTCCTGTAACATTAGGGGGGATTCATGGTAGTGATATGTTCCTGTAACATTAGGGGGGATTCATGGTAGTGATATGTTCCTGTAACATTAGGGGGGATTCATGGTAGTGATATGTTCCTGTAACATTAGGGGGGATTCATGGTAGTGATATTTCCTGTAACATGGGGGTGATATGTTCCTGTAACATTAGGGGGGGAGTTCATGGTTCATGGTAGTGATATGTTCCTGTAACATTAGGGGGGATTCATGGTAGTGATATGTTCCTGTAACATTAGGGGGGATTCATGGTAGTGATATGTTCCTGTAACATTAGGGGGGATTCATGGTAGTGATATGTTCCTGTAACATTAGGGGGGATTCATGGTAGTGATATGTTCCTGTAACATTAGGGAGTTCATGGTAGTGATATGTTCCTGTAACATTAGGGGGGATTCATGGTAGTGATATGTTCCTGTAACATTAGGGAGTTCATGGCAGTGATATGTTCCTGTAACATTAGGGAGTTCATGGTAGTGATATGTTCCTGTAACATTAGGGGGGATTCATGGTAGTGATATGTTCCTGTAACATTAGGGGGGATTCATGGTAGTGATATGTTCCTGTAACATTAGGGAGTTAATGGCAGTGATATGTTCCTGTAACATTAGGGAGTTCATGGTAGTGATATGTTCCTGTAACATTAGGGAGGTTCATGGTAGTGATATGTTCCTGTAACATTAGGGAGTTAATGGCAGTGATATGTTCCTGTAACATTAGGGAGTTCATGGTAGTGATATGTTCCTGTAACATTAGGGGGGATTCATGGTAGTGATATGTTCCTGTAACATTAGGGAGTTCATGGTAGTGATATGTTCCTGTAACATTAGGGAGTTCATGGTAGTGATATGTTCCTGTAACATTAGGGAGTTCATGGTAGTGATATGTTCCTGTAACATTAGGGAGTTAATGGCAGTGATATGTTCCTGTAACATTAGGGAGTTCATGGTAGTGATATGTTCCTGTAACATTAGGGGGGATTCATGGTAGTGATATGTTCCTGTAACATTAGGGGGGATTCATGGTAGTGATATGTTCCTGTAACATTAGGGAGTTCATGGTAGTGATATGTTCCTGTAACATTAGGGAGTTCATGGTAGTGATATGTTCCTGTAACATTAGGGAGTTCATGGCAGTGATATGTTCCTGTAACATTAGGGAGTTCATGGCAGTGATATGTTCCTGTAACATTAGGGGGGATTCATGGTAGTGATATGTTCCTGTAACAGGGAGTTCATGGCAGTGATATGTTCCTGTAACAACATGGAGTTTATGACTATATACAAAAGGGAGATAATGTATGTTATAAAGTAATGTTATGTGTCTGTATATGAAGAACATTGTGATGGTATGTTTTTAATATACACATACACACAGATCAGGATAAGTGTGTTGGCCTTGGGGAGCTTGTTCATTCTCATGGTAGATCCACATTTTGGTCATACTAGAAATCAGGGCTCTCACACCCCATTTTGGGACTGGGGCCCGGGGCCCTTAGAATTGGGAAAAATAATGGTGTTTTCCTTAGAATTAGGAAAACTTGGGGTCTAAATTGGGAAAAAAAGACACTATTTTGCATTGGGAATTCGGCCCCAAATCTGGCAGATCAAGAGCCCTGGAAATGAAAATGTTGATTTTATTGACACCAAATTTTTGATAATAGAAATCTTGAATACTCTCTCTAGAAAGAATCCAAGAGTATACTATCATTATTTTCTATAACCAGGGAGTAAAACGTATTAGGGATTAAATGAACAGCTGTGTTAGTCCTCATTTACTTTTAATCTCATGTTTCGATATTAACATTTTTTGTTACCTTTGACCTTCCACAGATGACCCGTGACTTGACCAAAGCTGAGCGATCTGCCTTCAGAAGTGTTCTAAGGGATGCCATCGCAGACATCTTGCCTAAACATATGCGAGAGGACTTCATAGCAAACTACACCTGTTGTCCCCCTCCCCTCTTCATGATTATCATCAGTATAGTCGAGGTCAGTGGTCTCTGAAAACTGGACGTTGTACAGTTTATGATTAACCCACTTAAGTGCTCCTTTTGAGTGAAGACTGGAATGTGTAGTGTTTATGACTAACATGCTTAGAATCGAAAAGTGGAGGTTGTGCAATTTACAATTAACATACTTACCAGTACTTCATACAGTCAATGAGAAATCGGAAAAAAATGATAAATAAAAGGTGAAATAAGGAAGAAATCATTTGTATAATAGGATTTTATTTGTTTTGGCAGATTGTAGTATTCGTTGTGTATGCGATGGAACTAAAAGACACGAAAACACCAGTCACTGCTACCTCAGGTGTTCCTACCTACAGCCCACTGATCTACTTACCAAAGCGCAGATATGAAGCTTGGAGATTCCTCACATACATGTTCATACACCAAGGGTATGTAACTCATCCAAAACTTTATTTTAATTGAGCTTAAAATACCTGTGTAAAAGGCAAGGCGATAAAATACCTGTGTAACTTGGCAAGTCAATAAAATACCTGTGTAACTGGCAAGGCGATAAAATACCTATGTAACTGGGCAAGTCAATAAAATACCTGTGTAACTGGCAAGGCGATAAAATACCTATGTAACTGGGCAAGTCAATAAAATACCTGTGTAACTGGGCAAGGTGATAAAATACCTGTGTAACTGGACCAGATAAAAAAATACCTGTGTAACTGGGCAAGGCGATAAAATAACTGTGTAACTGGGCAAGGTGATAAAATACCTGTGTAACTGGGCAAGGTGATAAAATACCTGTGTAACTGGGCAAGGTGATAAAATACCTGTGTAACTGGGCAAGGTGATAAAATACCTGTGTAACTGGACAAGGTGATAAAATACCTGTGTAACTGGACAAGGTGATAAAATACCTGTGTAACTGGGCCAGATAATAAAATACCAGTGTAACTGGGCCAGATAATAAAATACCTGTGTAACTGGGCCAGATAATGAAATACCTGTGTAACAAGGCTAGATCATAAGATGTAAATGGACTAGGAAATAAAATACTTTTTTGATATCAAGTCTTTCTACCAGTTGTTTTTAGAGGAACCCTTGTGTAGAATAATTAAAGAGGAAATCTTGTGTAGATTATTTGAAGAAGAACTCTTGTGTAGATTATTTGAAGAAGAACTCTTGTGTAGAATATTTGAAGAGGAACTCTTGTGTAGATTATTTGAAGAAGAACTCTTGTGTAGAATATTTGAATAGGAAATCTTGTGTAGAATATTTGAAGAAGAACTCTTGTGTAGATTATTTGAAGAAGAACTCTTGTGTAGAATATTTGAAGAGGAACCCTTGTGTAGAATATTTGAATAGGAAATCTTGTGTAGAATATTTGAAGAAGAACTCTTGTGTAGATTATTTGAAGAAGAACTCTTGTGTAGAATATTTGAATAGGAAATCTTGTGTAGAATATTTGAATAGGAAATCTTGTGTAGAATATTTGAAGAAGAACTCTTGTGTAGATTATTTGAAGAAGAACTCTTGTGTAGAATATTTGAAGAGGAACCCTTGTGTAGAATATTTGAAGAGGAACCCTTGTGTAGAATATTTGAATAGGAAATCTTGTGTAGAATATTTGAAGAAGAACTCTTGTGTAGAATATTTGAAGAGGAACTCTTGTGTAGAATATTTGAATAGGAAATCTTGTGTAGAATATTTGAAGAAGAACTCTTGTGTAGAATATTTGAAGAGGAACTCTTGTGTAGATTATTTGAAGAAGAACTCTTGTGTAGAATATTTGAAGAAGAACTCTTGTGTAGATTATTTGAAGAAGAACCCTTGTGTAGAATATTTGAAGAGGAACCCTTGTGTAGAATATTTGAAGAGGAACCCTTGTGTAGAATATTTGAAGAGGAACCCTTGTGTAGAATATTTGAAGAGGAACCCTTGTGTAGAATATTTGAAGAGGAACTCTTGTGTAGATTATTTGAAGAGGAACTCTTGTGTAGAATATTTGAATAGGAAATCTTGTGTAGAATATTTAAAGAGGAAATCTTGTGTAGATTATTTGAAGAAGAACACTTGTGTAGAATATTTGAAGAGGAACCCTTGTGTAGAATATTTGAAGAGGAACCCTTGTGTAGAATATTTGAAGAGGAACCCTTGTGTAGAATATTTGAAGAGGAACTCTTGTGTAGATTATTTGAAGAGGAACTCTTGTGTAGATTATTTGAAGAGGAACCCTTGTGTAGATTATTTGAAGAAGAACTCTTGTGTAGAATATTTGAAGAGGAAATCTTGTGTAGAATATTTAAAGAGGAAATCTTGTGTAGATTATTTGAAGAAGAACTCTTGTGTAGAATATTTGAAGAGGAACCCTTGTATAGAATATTTGAAGAGGAACCCTTGTGTAAAATATTTGAAGAAGAATGGAATGATTCGTTGCCCGCATATTTCTCTAATGAACACCTTTAAAGTTGTGATCTTTGTTTATCAAATTTAAAAAATTATGTAATATATTTAACATGCTGGTACAAGGTACATACAGGTATTTTCTAACAATCCAAATGTAACATCAGTTGTTTACCTTTGTGTATTTGTCCTAGGTATCTTCATATCATTTCTAATATGTTTACCTTTGTGTTTTTGTCCTAGGTATCTTCATATCATCTCTAATCTCATTTTTCAACTTTTACTTGGTCTGCCTTTGGAAATGGTCAACAAGTTCTGGAGAATTCTCGCCATTTATGTTTTGGGTGTCATAGCTGGTGAGTTTTTATGTTGGCAGCTGATGTGATAATTACAGTTACCCAGTAATAATTTCGAAAAAATTCTCCTGATTTGTTAGAATCTTCACTGGTGTGATTTGAAATCATTTTGACAGCTGAATATGTATTTTAATTTGCAAGGTCAGTTTGTCACAAATTAATGATTTAATCACTTTGCAAAATCATGTGCAAGGCTTGTATTTAGAAACGGGCATAGTGAATTTGACCTAAGATATGAATCATCACCTCATATATAGATAATAAAAGGAACAATTTTGATTTTTGAAGATTTCCATTGCTAAAGGTTTGAATATTTGCAGGATCTCTGGCCCACTCAGTGACAGATCATGATGTTGCTTTGGCTGGTGCTAGTGGAGGCTGTTATGCTTTGATAGGTGCCCACATAGCTTCTGTAATAGTGGTAAGTTATATACGATATTTATCAATATTGTTTTATTCTGCAATGCAGCATTTTCTATTAAAACTGAGAAAGAGATTCCAGCAAGATCTCTACCACCATAATTCACTGTCAAAATAAAGAAATCACAGATCTTAAAAATTAAAAATAACGTTTGTTATCCTGAAATGCCTTCATGAAGTTTTAAATTTTAATTACAGAACAAGTATTCAGTTTAAAATTTTCTTTTCAAAATTATGTTATGTTTTGTTAACTGTTGAAATAAAAATCAAAGGAAACATTCTAGTGAAATAAGGGAAGAAGAAAACATTTAGTACCTTCATTGCTTTATGAGAAAAGTGATAACAAGGCATAAAATATTTGTGATCTCTCTGCCACCGTCTTTGTTTTCTGATCCCAAAATCAAAGCTTGAACCTTGTTGACATGGACCAAATGGTTATTTACAAACTCTATGTCCAGGCTGTTAACAATTCTTTACATCTGATTCACGTCATATGAAGACGCTGTCAATACTTTTTGCTTTGAATTTCAGAACTGGAAGGAAATGAATTACAAGTGTTTTGAGGGGAATATTTGCCGGTTCCTTCTGAGTGCCCCTGTGAGATTGACGTTGCTGCTCACATTCTGTATGTGTAAAATTCTGTAATGCCTTCACTGAAAAGTTAGAACAGCGTTGTGAATATAAGACAGATTAGTGTTTGATTTACACTAATCAAATAACATTACTTCAGAAAACTACAATTAATGTTTTTTTGTGTAAAGAAACAAAGTCTTTAGCATTATATCATTATATCAGTATTTTTCATCAGTGCTCAGGTGTTATTCTTATACCATGGTCTTACAGGAAGGTGGGAGAATGAAAGGAGTTGTAATGTAATATATTTACATACATGTAAACTTCAAATGCATCATTTAGATAGAAAAAGGTGGGAAATTTGGTTATCTTTCTAGAAAAAGATGGGAAATTTTGGTTCTCTTTATGGAAAAGTGTGGGAAATTTGGGTTATCATCTAGAAAAAGGTCAGAAATTTGGGTTATCCTTCTAGATAAAGGTGGGAAATTTGGGTTATCGCTCTAAAAAAAGGTCAGAAATTTTAGTTATCTTTCTAGAAAATGGTGGGAAATTTTGGTTAACTAAAATATCCAAACAATGTCGCATTACTAATCCAACAGTGGCATTCACAAAATATTGTAATTTAAAAAAGAAATGACTGAGAGGACATATTGGGAAATTTAAGGAAATTTTCAGTTTCTTATTTGTACAAAATTCAAATAGAATTTAGAATTGTTTCGTTGGTTGTTAATATAAGTGTTTTGTTTTCACAGCCATCCTAGACACAGGCAATGCAGTGTACAGGAGATTCTTTGATAGCAGTGCTACTACAAAGATTGGGATTTCTGCACATATTGGTGGATTGTTGGCAGGTGAGTAAACAAGACATTCAAAACACATACATCTGATGGATAGGCTTTTAGCTCATGTCAGTTTTATTTAGATAGTCCCAGCTTTTCATGCAATGAAACATTGCAAATAACAGTCCATTTTCTCTGCATACAGAACTAATTTGCCTTTCAGCAAAGCATTTTTCTGAGGTCATTTTGAAAGCCTTGAAAAATATGCATATCGATTAATATGCAAACAAGATGTACATCTTGGAATCTTAGGATTAAGGAACTTGGTCATTGATCATAAATGACAAACATTTAACTTCTATGGTTTGTATGTGATAATACAAGAAATGAAATTTATTTGTTAAATATGTTAATTTTATCCTACTTTCAGGTCTTCTTCTTGGAATCCCAATTCTGAAGAACATCAAAGAACTGCCATGGGAGAAGACCCTGGGCTGGGTGACTTTAGCAGTATATCTTGTGTTTGTGTCCTTTGCCATGTTTTTCAATGGTTTATACCCAGGCTACCCCGAGACAGACTGGTCCTCTCTGTAGTACAGGGGAGATAATAAGGATTTTTTGGAGGAAAATAACCTTTAAATTGCTAGAAACTGTCCTTTTGTGAATGTGAAATGGTCCTAATAAATTGTCAAAACATCTTTTGTATGGAAAGAAAATGGCCTTAAAAATTGCCAAATACTGTACTTGTATGGTGTAGAAGTGTTAAATGAAGTAACATCAGCCTTATCAATTCCTTTTATAGCTGTTCTTGTCAAATTTTTGTCGCTTTGATATTTCCTATTTACGGATGGGAGTACATATATTGTTACTCATGTCTGTCCATCTCATCCATTGCATCACATCCCTATCCAAACCAGTGTCATACACATATCTTGAGAGACTCTCGACAGAATTGATCCATTTGCACAACAGTATCACAACATCACATGCTACATCTTATCATATTTCGTTGGTCAAGGTTAAACTGTCAAAGGTCACATTTGGTATATGTAAAACGAACAATTCTATTTTACACATGTACATTAGAGTTAGAGAATTCATGTCTTACAGATATACAGGTAAAGTAACCAAATCCTGTAAAAAATAGACATTGAAAGTTTTGTTCATTTGAAATATTTCTGTGTGAAATTAGACAAAAAAGTGAAATACTCGCACTATATATAAAGGTGATATTTTTAGATATCTAACTGTTCAGAAATTTGTGTAGAATGTATTGGGATTATTATTGGTGCTCTTAAGTACACCTGGATATAGATGTTACACAGCCACTGCTAGGTTATCGGCACATAGAATACAAAGAAGTCAGCCTTTTCTGAAAGATGACTCGGAGATTACTGTTGATTTTAAAACTGATTTGCATAGAATATTTTTTTAAAAGCTTGCACTTAATAGAATTTTGCATGTTTATTTAATTTTTAATTTGACTTATGTATTTTGGATGTTTCAATATTTTTTTACTTTAAATATGAAATATGGCATTAATCTCTAATGCTGAAGCTTATTATAATCATTGACCTCACCCTTACTGTACTCTGTATTTTACAAGAAATATGATTGTCGGGCCAATGTCCTTTGTTGTTACAGAAATACAATAGTCTAGTGTTGAGGTGGCAAATAAAGGGACCAGTGACTGTTTGGTGAGGTAACCTCTACATAAATATGAGGGACCAGTCAACTGGTAGGGGAGGTAACCTCTACATAAATATGAGGGACCAGTCAACTGGTAGGGGAGGTAACCTCTACATAAATTTGAAGGACGGGTCATCAGGTAGGGGAGGTAACCTCTATATAACTATGAGGGATCAGTCAACTGGTAGGGGAGGTAACCGCTATATGAATATGTGGGACCAGTCAAATGGTAGGGGAGGTAACCTCTTTACAAATATTAGGAACCAGAGGCCTGTTAAGGGAATCGCCTTTACATAAATATGCTGATCTATTGACCTATATGAGAAGGTGGCCTCTACACAGATATGAGAGACCAATGACTTGTATTGGAAGATGGCCCCAACATCAATATGAGGGATGGATGACCAACTTTGGAAAAAGACCCAATTCCTTTACTTTTAAATGGTGAGGTACCATGCTGTCATCTACATGTAAATTATTGATATTCCTGTATGTTGTACTTAAGGTCAATATAGCTAGAACAGTCATTCTGAAAACATTTATTGATTAGGAATATTGGAGAAACGTTTTATTTTATTTCCCTTCTGATTCTGTTAATTGTTTTTCAAGAGTGATCTGACTCCCAACATCATACTAATAACTAGGACCAGCCTATCTGTTGAAAGCTGTAATAACTACATGGATATTATTGTTTTACACAGTTACTGGCCTTGTCTGTTAATGCTCTCTTGTATCGGTATTAGTTAAGTGTATTGACACAGAAATTATGTACTAATATTAGTCCTTGAGTGTATAGGTAGATTGTGGTTAGTACCTGCGATTAACTTGGTAGCAGGTTCAGGTTTTTTCTTTAACACTACTTGTTGGATTTAATTTGAATTTAATTCTTAACAGACGATTAAAGTGTATTATTAACATTCCTGTAATTTACTAATTTATGTGTCGGGTCACAACTTGGTAAGCAAAACAATAACACTAACAATGTCTCATTGGTGTACGTTTTCATACATGGTTACCATCATCTAGACTCTGGTAATTTGCTTGAGGTAACAGATCAGAGGTTACTGACATTGATACGAAAATGTTACATTTATTTATTTCATTGTTCGATTTTCACAATATATATCACCAGCCATTCTCAATAGTTGTCGTAGCCTGTTCGTTTTTTCTTGCCAATGATTTTTGCATTCAGTGTTTAATTCTAACTGACCACACTTGCAAGTCAGTGTTGAACATATTATACTCTAAATTAATGCCAGAACAGAGAGCTTGTAATGTCCTGTCTATTAAAAAAGTTTAATTGGGTACCATCATGATATAGTACTTACATTTTATCATTTTTTTTCACAGTGATGTCATAAATTTTATAGATACCATTGCCTAGTTGTGTAAAATTGTCATTTTTTTTGTTTTTTGTTTTTTTTGTTTAAGATGCATTGTCTCACTTCCTTAAACCTATTTTCTAGTTGTATTCTAAGTCACTGTGTTAGAGGCTTCAATGCTTCCTTTTTGCCATTTTATTTACAGATCATGGTATATATAAGTATAACCTCGGATGGATACAATTTTTTTTTTTTTTTTTTATGTTTGCTTTGCACTTGTTTCACTTATTTAGGGTATGAATGAGGATAATTTTTGTCAAACATTTGTACATCTGTGTTATCTGTGTACATCTGTACTTTAGACTGGTCGGGTGTGACATGTCAAGCTGAGCCAATTTCTGTGTTTGATTTTAAGATGAATATGAATTGTAACCATTGAAATGTTGAGAATGAATGTGATGAATTTGGTTAATATTTAATATCATTTTGATTTCTTATGGAACTTTTACCTGATAATATCTCGCTATGTTTAATAGTGTATGAAATACTAGGTTATATGTGTTGGTAAAGCAGACTCTCAGGATTATGATAATGAAGTCAAATTTTGTATTAATTCTAGAATTTATACAATACCATACGAAATGTTTGAGCACTTGTTCAGTGCTACAATAGAAATGGTACATGTTGATGTACATGTATAAAAATTCATTATATAGTAATGAAATTGAATTTTAATATATACATGTATATTTAAAGAAGATAATTTTGATAATTTGATGTGGATTTCAACTTCCTACTAACGTCATTTTGACTAAAATAGAGATAAGTTATTGTTTTTCTATAATTTTTCCTATGATTTCCAGTTTTTTATTTTTCTGTAGAGAGAAAGGCTCTATAATGTGTTTATGTCCTCCTAAAGACCTGGTAGAATGATCGGGAGGGAATCTTCTGTTGTTAATGGGGTTTTATGGTGTAAAAAATTGTCATGTTATATTTTTTATGAAATTATGTTTTTAAATTTTATTGTCACTGCAATATCTACTATCACTTTATAATTTTACAAATCTTTTGTAATAAATGCTTCTATCACTTACCGTTGTACTGTTCTACATTAAGCATTGACGTTTCATTTTGAAGGACATCGGCTTCAATATTCAGCACATTGCAGGAAAATGTCAGCGTCTTTTTAAAACCTTAAAGTCCAACGCATGGTGTTGTTAAATTCACGTTTGAATATTGAAAGAGCTAAAATTATACATTTTTTGAAAACTGATTTGTTTTTATAAGTTATTTCCATCCTATTTGGAAATGTCGCTTGCGCAAACAATGCTGAAAAATGCCACTCATCCTGTCACCAAATGGTACATTCGAATAATAAAGAACTGAAATAAATTTCTCGTCCATTTAAATCGGGACCTAGAGCAATGGTGTGCATATGCATATATTTGGACAGGTATAAAGGTAAAAACAAGAGTTCCTCGGAACTGCATAAAGTGTCACGGTCACCCGGAAATTGAACTGGATGATCAACGATCAACCATAAAGTTGTAATACCAAATTTCATTTCTATAACTTGAAGCATAAAGGGAAAACTGCGAAAAGCAATATTCCTGAGAAATTTTCCAAGTTTAATGGGACATATCACTGCCAAGAAGCGAACTCGGTGCGTAACTTTTGACCAAGAACTCGTATACAAAATTGCATTTTCATAATTCGAAGAAAATTCCAGAAAACAATATTCCCAGAGAAGTTGAAAGGGGCATAACTCTGCCAAAAAGGGTCACAGACAGCCGGGAATGGAACTTAATCTGTACCTTTGCAACAAGAAGCCGTATACCAAATTCCATTTCGATAACTTAAAAGCATAAGCCAAAAAAGTACGGAAAACAATATTCCCAGGAAATTTTCTACGTTTAAAGGGGCATAACTCTGCCAAAAAAGGTCACAGACAGCCGGGAATCGAAGTTAATCTGAACCCTTGCAACAAAAAGCCATATGCCAAATTTCATTCTGATAACTCGAAAAGAGTCCGGTAAACTTTCGTACGGACGACGACGACGCGTGACGACGGACAAAGTGATCCCTAAGTGTCCGCCAGCTCTGCAGGCAACACAAAAATATGAATGACACGATCAAACTGGAGCAGCCATTTTGTTGCATTATTTTCAATTAATGACGTAACCTCATTGTCCATGTCATGACATCATAATTGATTTCTGTGTGCGCGCGGCCCATGAAAAACGCTCCAGATATTAAACTAGTGGCATATACGCAAAAATACTGCATTGGCAAATCTACTGGATAAGAGGTTATCTGATAAACAATTAAAATATTTGTCTCCGCTGTGAATATGTCCAGAATATCGGTATATTGACAACAGACTGGAAAGAGTGACCATTCAATTCATGATAAACGGCAGCAAAAATTACAGAATTCAAATTTACGATTCTCCTTAAACAGACTTTTTCATGGAATCAAATGACGTACTTAATATATTGATAGTCAAGACTTCCATTAATTAAGATCACAGCTATCTTAACGTATTCCTTCATATTTCAAAGGGTAATAAATTATGAAAATATT